TCATACACACAAAAGTAAATCTTTTCTAAAAAGTAGATAGACTCTTGGGAGGCAAAAGAAGGTGGATATCTGCGAGGTCAAGGTCAGCCTGGTGTGCGGCGTGAGCTCCAGGGCAGCCAAGGCTATGCAGTGGGAACCTGGAAAGTATGTGGGGATGAAAGATAATACAAGTTGGATGGGAAAGCGATTTATTTGACACACAGGGCTGGAGAGGGACACTAGGAGTCAGGACATCTCTGGGGGTCGGGCTTGGGCAGGGAGAAACAGAATTCTTCTTCTGTACCCTCTCTCCACAGTTCCTGGGTGGGCTGGGCATGCGTCTGGCCTGCCTCACAGATGACAGGTGTTGGGAGGGACAGATGTGTTCCATCTGGCACTAGCTGGTTTGGAGACACTGGTCAGCAGCAGGTGGGCGTGCTACAGGTGACAGGTCTGCAGACCAGGGTGGGGCAGGAGGGCTGGCAGCACCCGGATGACTGGCAGGAGGAGGTCACACAGACAGGCCGGCAGCTCACGGGCACACACACAGAGGACTGGCAGGAGGGAGCCATACACACAGTGGGTCTGCAGCTCACGGGCACACAGCAGGCCACCTGGCATCTCACAGGAATGCAGATAGCAGGCCTGCAGCTCAAGGGCACACAGGACGACTGTCAGGGGCTGGACACACAGCAGGATGGCTGGCAGGGGCTGGACACACAGCAGGCGGGCTGGCAGCCTGAGGAGCAGCTGGTGTGGCACATGGTGGCAGATGCTCGCTGGTCTGGAGGAGGGTGAGAATGTCTGGTGTTCCTTCCTGGGGTGGCTTTTATACCCAGCCCTATGTCCCAGCTACCCATAATGCAGCTGGTCTTCTGCGTGATGTTTCTGTCACTTGTTCCTCAGTGACTTGTTATTCCGGGGTGCGTCTTCCTGAGTTATGATCCTCATAAACAACCTTGGCTTTGAGGTCAACTTCTCCTTCCACAAACAGGATGTTCTGGTTTGGCTTTCATGCATTTTGTGCTGCTGTTTCTTGGGCCATTATTGAGCTCACAGCGGCGCTGGCTAGACTGAGGTCAGGATTCTGTTCTTTCTCATCTCATACTATCAATGAAGGCTTTTTATTACTTATTCTGACTTTCCATTGTAAAATGCAAACTTTACCATAGATGTGGGGAACTAGGATCCAGGGGCTATATTTGGCCTCCTTCCTGTCTTTATAAATAAAATGTTACTGTCAGCGGCATGCCTGTGTGTGTATATGTTGTTGGCTGTGTTCAGACCATAATGGCAGGTTACAAAAAAAGTTTAAGACATTTGCCGTCACCCCTTAACACAAAATTAGCTCCCTGTTTTTGGTTTCTCTTCCGTTGCTGTGACAAAACACTCGGCAGAAGCAACTCAATAAAGAAAGGGTTTATTTGGGCTCATAGTTTCAGGTATAGTCCATCCTGGCGGGGAAGCCAAGCGAGCGGGAGCAGGGAGCAGCTGGTCTGAGATAGCGGAGAGGATGAATGTGGCTGCCGCCCGGCCGCTTTCTCCACGTACACAGCCCAGGGAATGGCGCCTCCAGCTGTGGACTGGTCTGCCCGGTCAGTTATTGGAGTCAAGACAAGCCCTCCCAGGCATGTTCGCCATGATGCTAGATCCTGTCTCGTGGACAATACAACCCCACCCAACCCTATTGTGTAGTGATTGATACAGGGGCTCCTTTGTCCCTTCAGCAAATACAACTGTGCAATCTCAGAAATCCTGGGAAACTTCTAGCCATGGGAATGAGTGACTTCCGGCCCTGTTTCCCTGTTTCCTTGTACTGTGTTCCCACAACTGTTGCCAACCCCAGGACTGCAGAAGCTGTTGCTGCCTCCCAGCCCCCACTGTGGCCCTGATATGCAGGCCTATATGCAGGGTGCTCCTTTCTGTCTGGACTTCTCTGTGCCTCTCCCCTGTCAGGCAGCCTGCTGTATGCCGTGAGCTGCAGGGTCATTGTGTGCTCCTGTAACCTGCTACGCCTCAGATGCTGCCAGCTTTCCTACCCGTTTCTGCTCTGCAGCTCCTCCCCTGCAGCCATCTAGCCCATTACTGTTCCTGGGACCTCTGTAGCCATCCCAGCTGAGAGATGGGAATAGCTGCATGACTACATTCCACCAGGCTGTCACTTACAGCTCCATGTAGACCTCCCAACAACAGCGAAGTCACAGCAACAAAGCCACCAGGGCCACAAGAGCCGCGAGCAAAGCAGACGATTGCCCCCACACCCTTCAGCCCTTAACAGCTGGCAGCGAAAATATTATAAACATCTGTAGTAGGCATCCCGTGTCTGCGCTGTACTTCACTTCAGGTTTCCACACTGCTCAGGATTGTTCCCGAGATTCTTAAAGATTCAACAGAGGGACTCAGGGCCCAGACCAGCAGCAGGGTAACCACCGGAGGGTCATCTCTCTCTGATGTTCTGCCTTACACTGGGCTGTTGTATCCCAGTGGCTCTCATTTGGCCTACTTTGCTCCTCTGTGTGTGTGTGTGTGTGTGTGTGTGTGTGTGTGTGTATGCACATGTGTGCACAGTAGCATCTTGGGTCCCTGAAGGTGATTGTTGGTCTCTATTTAGCAACAAGCTGCAGTCCTGAAGCCCCTTCAGTCTAAGAATTTAACTTGAACCCCCATCACTCCTACCCATCCTCCTTTTTGTAAAGATGAATGAAGAAAGCCTTCATTCAGAGCAGAGTAATAGCCCCTGCTCCTACACCCTATGTCTGTGTCCTCACAGGGCAGGCAGACTTTACAGAGGGGCAGTCTCCATGGGCTAGGGGATAACATCTGAGTGAGGCAGGGGGATGGCTGATGCAGGTGGCAGGACACCGAGGGACTGGCTCTGCATAGCAGGCGTAGGCGGGAATTGAAGTTGAAGAGACCCCCACCACCATTCTCCCCTGGAGCCTCCAGATGAGGCCTTGCCTATGCCTGCTCTTAACTACCCAGGGTCCTCCTTGCCCCTTTGGTTCTACTCTCTCTCAACAAGAGCCGGTGGGGGTGGGTCACACTCTGGCAGTCTGTCTAGTCCTTTTCACGCTGTCCCTTAAAGAGGCCAGCCTAGTCTACAGAGCAAGTTCCAGCCAGGGCTACACAGAGAAACTTGTCTCAGGGAGGAGAGGAGAAAGTGGGGAGGGGAAGGGGAGAGAGAGAAGGGGGGGTGCCTGATGGCCATTTGGCTGGACCGTCTCTAAGGGCTGTGTGCTGAAGGCATGTGTGTGGTCCCAGCCTGTGATACCACTGGGAGCTGGTACAGTCTTTAGACCAATGGGCCTAATAGGAGAACATGGGGCCATTGGGGATGTCCCTTGAAGCGGCCTGGATACTGGCTCCTTCCTCTCTCACTGGTTTCTCATTCTCACAGGCCTTGCCACGGGCCCCGAAGCAACGATAAGATCACAGTGACGGATCACAGATGAAACCTTGAGCCCAAGCCAGCCTTTCCTGTCTCTACACTGATTCCCTCAGGCATTTTATCACACACCAGAAAGCTGGGCAGTGCAGCCATGAGGTTGTCCTCCCTGTACCCAGGGGATGATCATTCTCTTTGGAGTATTTGAATAACCAAGTGATGGCTGCAGGATGTGAATAGACCCAGAAAGCAGGAACAATGTGATTTCAAATTTAGAATTTAGCCCCACCATATAGCCAGACTTTCTCTGGACTGTCAGCTCCTGAATAACAACATGGAGACTTTTTATTAATTATGAAAGGTAAACCTTAGCTTAGGCTGGTTCCCAACTCACTCTTATAACTCAAATTAACCCATTTCTATTAATCAACATTCTGCCACATGACGCATTACCTCTCCTCGGTACCATATTTCCGACTTCCTCTGAGTCTGGGTGGTAAATCTTCCCGAGCCTTGGATTCTTTCCCAGAGTTTCTATCTCTGCTGGGAAGTCCCACCTATCCTCTCCTGCCTAGCTATTGGTCATTCAGCTGTTTGTTAAGCCAATCAGAAGGTGCCTTAGGCAGGTGAGGAAGGACAGAGATACACTTTTGCACAGTGTACAAAAAGATTATTCCAGGGGGCTGGAGAGATGGCTCAGTGGTTAAGAGCATTGCCTGCTCTTCCAAAGGTCCTGAGTTCAATTCCCAGCAACCACATGGTGGCTCAAAAAGATTTTTCTAACACCACCGTGTTCAGAGATCCTTCCCTTGGGTTCTACTCAACTCCACTTGGGTGGAGGAGCTCAGCTGGGGTAGGATGGAACTTGTCTTCACAGCCTGCGGAGGAGTCTTCTCCTGTTGCCAAATTTCCTGGCTGGTCCGAATGTTGCTCACTTGACTCTCCAATGTTAGTGGTCCTCAGGGAGCCCCACCTTGTCCTCCTCACCATCCTTGGGGTGACTCATGATGTCTTTTTGCCTTGTCCCTCTGCAGCCAGGCCTTAAACTCAGATGTGACCAGTGTTGCCACAGTAGGGGCTGACCCTCATGCTCTCATGATCTGAGGCAGGCATGGTGGGAATCTCTTATCATGGTCTCCTGATGGAAGCCCCTGGCCCCTCTGTGTGTGTTCTCAGGCTGCAGCCATATCGAGAGACTTCTGGGCAGATGCACGTGCCTCAGGTTCTGTCCCAGTGTCCTGATTTGGCGTAGGAGACTCTTCCTGGACTTACAGGGAAAGACACCCAGGGCCGTGGTAGCCTGGATATGAAGACCTAGAACATTCCAGAAAATGCACACAGCCAGCTCACAAGTCCTGATACGAACACTTTATTGAACACAGCAGTGAACCTGTCACATCTGGTATGAGTACACGTTCACGAGAACGGGCTCCTGGGGCTGCTTTCTATGTCACAGAGGGATCTGTAGGGGACAGGGCTGGGTGGCACCCTCAAACCCAATCGGCCAGCACCTATGTAGCCTCCAATCCATAGTGAGACGACTCTGGTGGCCCCAGGTGACTTCCAGGGGCTCCCGAGAGTGGAGAATCGCTTAAGAATAAAGATGTAGCCTGTAAAGGCAGAGAGATCCAGCTTGTCAGCAGCTGGACTTCTGGCCAGAGGAGAGGCCACAGCAGGCCTGGCTGGAGCAGGCAGGACGGCAGAGCAGGGACATGCTGGAGCAGGGCTTGCAGCAGCTGGGCTGGCAGGAGGAGGCACAGCAGGAGGAGCTGGGCACACAGCAGGCAGGTCTGCACACAGGGCAGCAGAGCAGGGACACGCTGGAGCAGGGCTTGCAGCAGACAGGCTTGCAGCAGACAGGCACACAGCAGGAGGATTGACAACATGAGGAGGATCCAGAGCAGATGGGTGTGCAGCAGACAGGCTTGCAGCAAAGGGTCACACAACAAGGTGAGGAGGTGCAGCATGAGGGCTGGCAGCTAGACTGCTGGCAGCATGAGGGTGTGCAGCAGCTGCTGCAGGCAGATTGGCAGCAGGGACTGGACCCACAGCTCACTGGGGTGCAGATGAGGGTCAGGCAGGGGGATGGGGCACAGCAGCTGGGGACACAGCAGCTTGGGATACAGCAGCTAGGCTGGCAGCAGCTGGACTGGCAACAGCTGGGGACACAGCAGATGGGCTGGCAGCAGCTGGACTGGCAGCAGCTGGGGGCACAGCAGCTAGGCTCACAGCAGCTCTCTGGGCAGTCATCCACCTGCCAGGAGGAGTCAGTACAAGAATCACAGGAACCAGGCAGGCAGACCCGGCTGTCATAGCTCAGGTCACTGGAGCAGACGGACATGGTGGAGGTGGCCATGGCGGGCAGGTCTGGTAAGAGCTGTGTGAGTGTGAGAGTGTGAGTGTGTGAGTGTGAGTGTGTGTGAGTGTCTGCTCTCAGCTTTTATAGCACTCTGGGCTGGTATTGTCCAAGTGAGGAACTTCTCGGGCTTCCCTTCCTGCTTACTGGTTGGCTGGAGCCCCCTCATTAGCGGTGGTCATCGGAGGTGTGCATGCCTCACCTGTGTTGTTTGTGTTTGTGTTTGTTTTGACTCAGCTGAAGGCCTGGGAATCATTTGAGGCCACTTCTCCTGAGAGGTTTTGGAGGTGAGCAGGGCTCCATGGCAACAGGGACTGGGGTTGTCATCCTATGCCTGAGCGGCTGGGACCTATCATTATTGCTGTTGTTTTAAACATTTTAAAAACATAGACAAAATAAAAACATACATATCTTACATAATACAACTCACCCGGGGGCTTAATGACAGCTCCCCTACCCTCTCCAAATGTTAGCAAGATGCAAGTCGTATACAACACAGTTGACTCAGGGGCTTGTTGACAGGAGACTGTGTGTATATTGTGAGGTAGACTGTGCTCGGGCAGGGTGGCGTCTTCTCTATGCAGTGCCTGGCCCTCCTTCTGAGACTCTCAGCATTTCCAGGGATACTCTGAGCTTTTTGTGTTTTTGTTTTGCTGTGGTTCCAAGACCAGAGACTCCACATCCTGCAGTGGCCACAGTTCAGAAACTCCTGGCCTGCCCACCCATGCCAGGATAGTCTGGCTGGGTATAGAATTCTGAGCTTGGAACTGGGTGGTAGTGGCACATGCCTTTAATCCCAGCACTTGGGAGGCAGAGGCAGGTGGATCTCTGTGAGTTCTAGTCCAGCCTGGTCTACAGAGTGAGTTTCAGGACATCCAGGGCTACACAAAGAAACCCTGTCTCAAAAAACAAAATAACCAGTCAAACAAACAAAAAGTCTGGGTTTGGCCCAGTGTTTCTCCAAGCCCAGGTAACAATGCCTGTCATCCTGGTGTCCGTGTCCTTGTGCAGAGACACCTAGAGTTCCCTGACTTTCAACTTTTGTTGTTTTCTTTCTTCCTTCTTATTCTAGGATGCCAAATCTATTTCCAGGCTGTGTGTTGCTTTGCTGTGTGTTGACCCCATTATAGGAGACTCAGTGGGAGGTGGCTTGTCTGTTCCTTGTTGGGCTAGGGAAGACATCCTTCTTGGTTGCTCTTCTTCAGAATAGGCACAGGCAGCCGAAGATCCCAGCCATCCTTCGTGCCCTGAACCTGGCTTTGCTGCCCTGTTTCCATCAGGCTCAACTTCAGGTTAACCCTCAGCCTGAAGGGTCTGTGGCCATGGGCTCTATGCTCACAGACAATGCCCTAGTTAAGGTGAAAGGACAGGGCTATCAGCACTGGGACCTAATGATGGCCCGTGGCTCCTACTGGGTAGTTTTCCTGGGTAGTGGTTAGGGTATCATGGAGCCAAGGCTTGAAGGACAAGACCAAGGGTGTCAGAGCATCCCCACAGCAGGTGGCTTGTCGTCTTGCTCACCCCAGACTCCTTGACCCTGAGTACTCTTTCTGTCATTCCCCGACCCACCTCTGACACCTACTTCATGGTTTGGGTACAGAATGTCCCTACAAGTTCACGTGTTGAACTCCACAATGCTGTTTGTGGGGGTGGACCAAACATTAGGTAGCTGGCCTTATTGGAGGAAGTATGCCATTGGGGGTTGGCCTTTCTAGGTTCTTCCCGCCCCCCTCCTTTCTGTTTCCTGTCAGTCATGAGGGGTGCCGTCTTGGCTCCATGCTTGGGTTGTATGGTGTTCTGTCTTATCGCAGACTCAGAATATCTCAGGGCGAGAGCTGGACCTTTTGAAGCCATGAATCAAGAGTCCTTACCCCTCAGCTCTCTATGCTGGGCAGTTGTCTCAGCAATGAGCAACACCATTGGCTGCATCACACACTCCATCTGCCATGCACCCTGTTGGCCTGTGTGTCCGCTGTCTTTTTCTGGAAGTCCCTGGTCTTCATACTCCACACATGGCCTCATGTCATCTCATCAAGCACGAGCTTCTGAGGTGAACCGACTGGTTGGCTCCTCTACAGCTGTGTGATGGACAGCCCACACACATTGATCCACTCTGCTGCAGACGGATATTTGAATAATTTCCTGTCATCTGTTAGGGGCTGAGTGGACACTGGCTCTAGATGGACGGATGTTCTCATTTCCCACAGGATGATGCCTGGGGCTGGGATGGCAGAGTTCCAGGCTCACCCTGTCATTAACAACTCTGGAAGGAAAGAACCTCATAGCAGACAGGGGACACTTCCTGCCTGGCACTCCAAGAGTCACTAGACAGGGGAGGCCCTGCATTTTGGATGTCAGCCTGCAGAGGTGGGAGTAGCAATCAGAGGTCACAGAGAGTCCCCTCCTGTCCTGCTTCTGTACCAGCCCCATGGCCATCAGAGCACCAAAGAGGGACAGACATATGTTGGGGGGGTGTCCCCCAGTGAAGTTGAGCCTTACCTGTTGGCCACTCAACACCCACAGCAGGATGTATCTATCACGGCCTTTTTGGGACCTCTTATCTATGGCCACATGAATTCGCACCCCCAGGAAAGTAGAGAGGCTGTGTTATTTGGTGTCTGGTGCTGGGATGTCCCTGGTGGTTATCTCAGGTGGTCTTCTGAGTAAGGGAAGGGAGGTGGCTCCCTGAACACAGGTGGCCTGTGGGTGAGGACCTGGGACTGGTGGCACAGCTGGTGGGGATGGTAGCTCCCGGGGACACAGTCCATCACAGTGGGGATGGTGTAGTCCTGGGGACACAGTCCATCACAGTGGGGATGGTGTAGTCCTGGGGACACAGTCCATCACAGTGGGGATGGTGCAGTCCTGGGGGCACAGTCCATCACAGTGGGGATGGTGTAGTCCTGGGGGCACAGTCCATCACAGCGGGGATGGTACAGTCCTGGGGGCACAGTCCATCACAGTGGGGATGGTACAGTCCTGGGGACACAGTCCATCGTAGTGGGGATGGTGCAGTGGCAGGAGCAATAGGCAATTGGTTAGGTTCATCTGCAGAGAGAGAGAGAGGGATGCAGGGGCTCAGCTTGCTTTCTTCTTTTTATCCAGTCCAGGACCACAGTCCATAGAATGGCGCCACCCATATTTAGGGTGGGTATTCCCACCTCAGTCAACCTAATTTAGAAATAAAAATTTCCCTCACAGTCATGGTGTTTTAGTAACTGTTCTATGCTGTGAAGAGACACCACAGCCAAGGCAACTTATAAAAGAAGGCATTTTACTGGTGGCTTGCTTACTGTTTCAGAGGGCGAGTCCATGACCATCATGACGGGGATGGGGGACAAGGGGAGGGGGCAAAGCAGCAGGCAGGCAGACATGGCGCTAGAATAATAGCTGAGAGCTTGTATCTCACTTCCCCAAGATTGGGCCTGACTTCGGACTTTCGGAAACCTCAAAGCCTCCTCCAGCAACACACTTCCTCCAACAAGGCCACACCTCCTAATCCTTCCCAAACAGTTCCACCTCCTGGTGACAGAGCATTCAAATATATGAGCCTATCTGGAGGCATGTGGCTAGTCCTCTGTGGCCAAGGCTAGAGCATAGGAATAACTAGAGGAATAGAGAAGCAGGCTGTGGGGGACAGTACCCCAGATGAGGACAGGGGGTCAGCAGCTGGGCTTCTGGCCTGAGAAGGGGACACCACATACACTGACAGATTGTTTCCAAGGTGATGCTAGATCTTGCCAGCTGGCAGCATTAGTCCTCACACCCATACCCAGCATCCACTCATGTGGTCCCTGCGCTTGGACAGGGTGGGATGTTGGGTCTGGCACACTGGACAGTAAAGAAGGGTGTAGGTTCCACACAGTGTGGGGGGGCTGCTAAGAAGGGCTGCAGGGAACGTGTTGAAATCCAGGAGGGCTGGATTGATTGACAGGAGGATCCCAGAAGACTGCAGGAGGCTGGCATTCTTGGGACCTCTCAGAGTCTGGGCAGGAGCTGGAGCCCTGGTTGAGATGTAGACCCTGGGGAAGCTAGAGTCGCAGAGAAAGCTGGACGCAGGCTGAGCATTGCTGTAAAGGGTTGCCACCCAGGGAAGACTGGGGGTGTGGCTTCCTGGTAGGAGGGTCATGCTCAAGGGGACCCCAGTGCTCAAGAGCAGCTGCAGGGCTAGGAAGGACAGGTATGGCTCAGGGGTCCATGGCTACCAGGTAGTCACTTTCCCCCCCACATCCCTAGCCTCAGATACTAAGGAGCTACTCTGCGAAGAGCCAGTGTGTACCCTTGAGCTAGGTCCCACTTGCTGCATGAAACCTGGCCCTTCGTGCCCAGCCACCCCACACCCCATGCCACACACAAGACACCAGTCAGCAGGAGACAGCGGCAGGTTTAAAGATTTATTTTTTATTTTAAGTATGCGTGTGTGCGTGCATGCATGTGGTGTGTGCATGTGTTTGTGTGTGTGTGTGTGTGTGTGTGTGTAAATGAGCACAGGTGCCCACAGAAGCCAGAGGAGCACAACAAATGCCATGCTGTGGAAAAGGAATTGCAACTTACAATAGGCAGTTGTAAGTCACCCATTGTGCGCTGGGAACAGGACTCAGGTCCTTTGCAAAAGCATAAGCGTTCTTAATCACTGAACTCTCTCCCCAGGCCCAAAGGACAAGCTGATTAGGACATATGTCCTAGGCTAGGACTGCTGGAGTGGGGACTAATCCGTGACGTGGGGCCTAAGGAGGCAGTGGGACTCCATCAAGGCACTTCCACCTTCCACTGGGGAAGGACTCGGGAACCGGCCATGCTCTGGATGGTCTTGGGTAATCTGTGGTCAAGCCTAGAGGGTGGGAATGGCTAGAGTAGTGCCGAAGCAGCCTGTGCTTGACAGTACCCAGATGAGGGCTCAGGCTCAGCAGCTGGACTTCTGGCCCGAGGAGAGGCCACAGCAGGCTTGGCGGGAGCAGACAGGGCGGCAGATCAGGGACATGCTGGAGCAGGGCTTGCAGCAGCTGGGCTGGCAGGACGAGGCACAGCAGGAGGAGCTGGGCACACAGCAGGCAGGTCTGCACACAGGGCGGCAGAGCAGGGACACGCTGGAGCAGGGCTTGCAGCAGACAGGCTTGCAGCAGACAGGCACACAGCAGGAGGATTGGCAGCATGAGGGCTGGCAGCTAGACTGCTGGCAGCAGGAGGAAGACCCAGAGCAGACTGGTGTGCAGCAGACAGGCTTGCAGCAAAGGGTCACACAACAAGGTGAGGAGGTGCAGCATGAGGGCTGGCAGCTAGACTGCTGGCAGCAGCATGAGGATCCAGAACAGATGGGTGTGCAGCAGACAGGCTTGCAGCAGACAGGCACACAGCAGGAGGATTGACAGCATGAGGGCTGGCAGCTAGACTGCTGGCAGCATGAGGGGGTACAGCAGCTGCTGCAGGCAGATTGGCAGCAGGGGCCGGATCCACAGCTCACTGGGGTGCAGATGAGGGTCAAGCAGGGAGCTGGGGCACAGCAGCTGGACTGGCAGCAGCTGGGGACACAGCAGCTGGGGGCACAGCAGCTGGGGGCACAGCAGCTGGGGGCACAGCAGCTGGGGACACAGCAGCTGGGGGCACAGCAGCTGGGGGCACAGCAGCTGGGGGCACAGCAGCTAGGGATACAGCAACTGGGGGCACAGCAGCTGGGGGCACAGCAGCTAGGCTCACAGCAGCTCTCTGGGCAGTCATCCACCTGCCAGGAGGAGTTGGTGCAAGCGTCAGAGCAGACAGACATGGTGGAGGCGGCCATGGTGGGGTTGGCTGGGAGCTGGGAGTGTATGAGTGTGTTGTGTGAGTGTGTGTGAGTGATGAGTGTGTGTGAGGTGCTCTGGGCTCTGGGCTTTTATCCCCCAGGTGTGTTTTGCTGCAGGAGACTCTGCACCCTTCCCCTTCCTTGTTGTTTAGTCTGAAGGGTGCTCAGTCATAATCTCCTGTTGGGTTGGTTGCCCTAAGAATAGCCCTCACTGGAGGAAAAGCGTGGCCTTCCTGGGCTGACCCCGTGCCCTCTACCTGTGGCTACCTGCCAGGGTGCTGGTGATGGCACTGAGCACCAAGACTACTGCTTCTCCAGCCTGGTCCTCAGAGTGTGGTCCAGCCTGCCTGTAGCTGGGAGAGAGGTGATGGGCCCATCACAGAGTTGTCTCTCCTGCATCTGAGACCAGCACGGTGGCCAGACCATCTGATCCACACCCTCAGCGTCCCAGAGCCCTCCATATCGTCAGATGCCTGGGCTCGGAAGGCACTCACTGGGAGCCCCAGGTTCTCATGCCTCAGAATGCATATACAGTAACACGGGGACAGAGCTCAGCAGTTCACAGGCCTGGCTGTGCCTGGTGGGGCTCCTGTGCCACAGAGTGTGGGTTTTCTGGCTCATATACCTGGTGCAGCCTCTCACACAAGCTCTTTTCCATCCCATGAACTTGTACACACATCTTCACGTGTGTCAGGTCTTATCAGCATCCAGGCCCAGAGATGTGTATGATAGCAATAGCTCCCGGAGCCCTCTGGATCTCTGACAGTGATCCTCAGTTTCATCTGGTCTCACCTGAGAGTTCACCAGCCTCCCCTTTAACCTAGGTGGGTTTTCCTTCTTCTTTTCTTTTTTGTTGTTGTTTTTAAATATATTGATACTTTACTTTCATTTATGAAGGTGTTAGGTACACTGGAACTGGAGTTACAGACAGTATGAGCTGCCATGTGGATGCTGGAATCGAACCCAGGTCCTCCAGAAGACGGACTGCTGTCAGTCAGTGCTCTTAACCTCTGAGCCATCCCTCTAGCTCCTTCACCCAGTTTTGAAGGACTCTGTATGGACCTTTCAAACCTCACTCTACTCCATTCCCCAGCCTCACCCTCAGCCTCTTTCTAGAGGTCAGAGACCAGGTATTGTCCCTTGGACAGACAGCTAAAGACAACAATAGCAGAGGGCAGGGCTAGAAACACATTTGTGAAAATCAGAGCCATTACTGGGTGGCAGAGGCAGGAGGATCTCTGTGAGTCTGAGGCCCCCCTGGTCTGCAGAGTGAGTTCCAGGATAGCCAGAGCTACACAAAGGAACCCTGTCTGGAAACACCAAAAATAAATAAAATCAATTGGAGCCATCGGGCTTCCAAACCTGGCCTCAGGGAGCCCATGGAGGTGTCCTGGCTGGCGTCTCATTGGAGCTGCCAAACATCATATATCTGTATTTATCCTGTCACGGCTATGCTGAGGCTTTGGTCATTGTGCTTTTCTCTTTTGGATCCGTTTTGAGTTTGTCTTCGATGTGGCCCGAGAGTGTGATGTCATCTCCAGCGTGTGACCCCTTGACCCTCCCAGGATGATTTGTGAAAGAGAGCACTCTTGGCTTGCTGCGTGTCCTGGCGCCGTTGTGAGGAAGCAGGTGGTTTCGTGTAGTCTGCTGACCTACACACCCGTCATTGCACCGGCAGCACCGTTTTGACCCCAAGGTCCTTACTGTTGGTCATTGTGGTTTTTCTTGCCAAATGGCTTCGTCTATAACCGCCATCGCGGTATGGCATTGACATGGCAGGAACGGATACTCTCGCCTTGTCCCTGCCTAGAAAGGGCTAGGGATGAGGCTTCATGGGTATCCTGCCTTGCAGTGAGGGAGTTCTGTTAGATTTGATCTTTACTATGAAAGGGTGTTGGCTTTCCCTGAGCATCTTTTTGCATCACTGAAATGGCTGTGCAATCCCTCGTCCCCTGCAACACACTTCTCTGTTTGGTTTCTCGGTTGAGTCGGCTTTGTCTTTCTGACACTCTGCTGTGCCACACAAGACTTTCCTCTGCTGCTGGGGTCAGTTTGATTATGTTTTGTGGGTCGGGAGTGGTGGTGGAAGAGGCCATAATTCTTGTCTTAGTTTACGGTCACTCATCTCTGAAGCCATCGGCCCTGGGTTCTTCGTTCAGATGGTTTTTAATTAGTGACCCATCTCGGGTCACTTCCCTTTGGCCCTGGCCAGCTCATACATTTTAGATCCCAAGACACAGACACATGAAAATGAGAGGAATTGGGGAGGAGACCCCTAGATTCGGTAACCACAGAGATTTGAGCAGCATGAAGGCCGCACATGCTGGAGAGTCAGAATTGGTAAGAAATGGTGAGATACATGGAACACCAGTAGAGATCGATCTATAAGAACGCATGGTTGTCACCCTTTAGACCTCAAGATAGAACGGGAAAGAACTCAACAGCTCTGGTACACAGACACAGCTGGCAATGCCAGTCGGCCATTGTTAGTATATTTAAAAGAAGAAATAAAAGGAGAGGCAGGTAGAAGACGAGTCATGGCTCAGAGAGCGAGGTGTGCAGCCACACAGAACACACCAAGCAGCAGTGGCTCCTGCCACCCTGCAGCTCAGCTCACGCCTCGGGCCAAACAAAGTCTGAATGAAACTTGAAATAGCTGAGATCATGTGAGGCACCATCTCTGACCAGACAGGAAGAAATAGAAATCAAAACAGAACTGGAGAGTTCACCCATCCATAGAAACAGAACATAGACTTGAACAGCGAAGGAGTCAGGGGAGAAGCTGGAAGGTACGGGAGGCGGATGAAAACAAAAACACAACAAACCCAAGCTGGGATGCGGCCAAAACAGCACAAGAGGGAAACTCAGAGTCGTGAAGGAAGAGCCCAGACCAGTCATCCAAACTCACACCTCAGGGAACCAGGAAGAGGAAGTCCAAACGGAATCCACAGGAAGTATAGGTAAGAGCCAAGACACCGAGACAGAAGACAGCTGTGGGAAATGTGGCGACGGAGAAAACACTGGCCAGTGTCTAACGCGACTGAAGGCTAAGGAGTTTGAAAGAAGTAAAACCACCAAAGGAAACGGTCATGGTTGTGAGTTTATGTCAACAAGATGGACTGGCAGAGAACCCTGAACCGTGGCTGGTGACAAACGAGAGAAGTTAGGTGTCAGGGACAGACTCGTGGAGTCTGGAGACCAGATGCAGACATATGTTACAGATGGACCTCATTTCTCCCTGTGGCTTTGAATGCTGTTTTTAGTCCCTTCTGTCATGAAAACAAAACAAAACAATTATTGGAGAGCAGGTCTTTGAGCCATGGTCTCTCTTAACTATGCAGACAGACCGTAGTTTCTCCTTCCTCTTTTTCTTTATCTTTTGTGTAATTGAGGGTTGAGCCTAGGCTCCTGCATGTACCTGGGAAGCATTCCATTACAGGATCAAGGCAGTTTCTTTATTCATTAACCAATAAAAGCCACACATAGACAGGAGGACCTCCCACACCAGTTGGTAATTTGTGGGGACTTGTTTTGTAGCTCTGATCTGGTCTGTTCCAGAGAAAGTTCCATGTGCTGAAGAAGAGAAAGTGTCTGGGGCAGCTGTTGGAATGCCCTGTGCCCTGTAGACATCCGCCAGCGCACACATCCTTTCCTCTGCTGTGCTGTTAGGTCGGGCATCCGTTGACTTTTGCTGGCTCCACCCACTGCCAGGGATGCCTGTTGAATGGCACAGTATCATTTTATCAGGTTCTATCTCACTTCTGGTCAAATGAAGCTTGCTTTGTGAAGTTGGACAACCACCATTGGGTGCATATAGGTTAACAATCTTGTCTTCTGGATGAATTGACCCCTGGGTCATTATGCAGTTACATTTTGTCTCTTCTTTCTGCTTGTATTAATTCTATTTTGTCAGAAATAGGCATAGACACTCCTGCAGGTTTTCAAGTTCATTTCTTTCTTTCATGCTCTCTGCCTTTGTATCTTTCTGATGCTGTGAATTTCTTGTAGGCAGTGTGCTGTTGGATCTCGTTTTTTCAATCAATTCAGCCAATCTGTCCTTTAATTAACACATTAAGACTGTTCACATTCAGAGTTCTTGATGAAGGTGTGAGCTTGCACCTGCCATTTTACTGCTTTTCTTCTAGTGGTTTTGTGTTCTTTGTTTCTTTTCTTCCTCTCTTATTCATCTTTGTCATTTAATGGTTTACTGAATTGATAGTATTTGATTCTTTTCTATTTTTCTCCTGTGTTCTGAGGGAATTTAGACTTCCATATGCAACCCTGATGGTAGCTGTCTTCCTGTCATTTCAGGTATAAGACTCTCTTGCTCTCTCTTTCATCTTAGCGATGAAATCCGTTCATTTTTGTTTATTGGGGAAGGTCTTTGCTTCTTCTTCGATTCTGGGCTAGTAATCTTGGTTGGCAGTTATTTCCTTCCAGGACTTCAATAAACCCTTTTACACTCTCTGGGCTGCCAAATTTTGCTCAGGAGTCTGCAGTTGATCTGGGGTGGGGGTGGAGGGTGGTTACTGGCAAATGAGACTTGGTGCTTCTCTCTTGCAGATTCTAAGAGCTTTTTTGTCCTGCTGTTTGGCAGTCATATATAATATTGCTGTAGTAAGGGTTTTTCCCGTCATGTCCGTTTAAGGACCTTCTTCCCTTCCCTGGGTGTATCTTTCCTAAGATTTTTCCAGATGATATTATTGTGTGTTTTTTTTTTTTTTTTGGTTTGTTTGTTTTGTGCTCTGAACTTTTCTCTCTTCCCCTTCAGGTACCAGTGATGGTGATTCTAATGATTGATAGTGTCCAGAGATCTCCCATGCTCCTCCATTTCCCCCCTTTATTTCTGTCTGAATGTGATATTTTGGAAGACCCATCTTCAAGCTCTGTTGTAATTTGTTCTATTTGATCACATCTGCCTGGGATCCTCGGCCCCTGAGCTGTGGGCTGTGGCTGGAGCTGATGAATTCCCTTTAGCTGAGCTCCTACAGTTGATACCATGTTTCTCGGCTGTGCACCTTGCAGGAGGCTGTGGTCAGCCTGTGACATGACCAAGGAACCTTGTAGGTGACTGACAGGAACTGTGCTGTCACCTGGATGAGGTGTGAGTTCCACAGAGTGGCTGCCCTCAGTCCCGGAATTCTTGTAAAGCCACAGTGCTGAGTTTTTCCCAGGACAAGGACCCACTCTCCATTGCCCTCCATAGCATGACTTCCCTTGCCATGAAGCCCTTTCAGTGGGTGTCTCAGAGTCACTCCATGGGCCCCAGAGATGGATCGCGCAGATCTAGAGCTAGAACAGGAGGAACCCTAACCCTAGTACCAGAGTGTGGAATAAGGGAGCTGTGGGTCTGTGTAATGACTCCAAACCCCCCAGCTGGAGGTATGCGAGGGTGGGAGGGGTTCAGGCTCCAGCATGAGGCCCCGGAGTGACAGTCACAACAGAAGCTGAGTGGGTCAGAGGAAGCTTTATTGAAGTGCATGGGTCTACAATGGTACAACTGACCACAGAAGCAGGGTCATCCACATAGGCAGGGATGGAAAGTGAGCAACCAGCACTCCTGGGACGTGCTGGAGGAGGAACACAATGGTCCTTCTAAGTGGCTGAGTAACTGGTTTCTCTTCAAATGGTGTAAATCTTTCTTCTGTGCTGTGCCTGCATGAGTGCCAACCACAGACTGGTGGGGAGGTAGCTCCTGCTGCTTGCAGTGGGTCCTGGCTCTCAGCAGCTGGACTTCTGGCCACAGCAGGCCTGGCTGGAGCAGGCAGGACGGCAGATCAGGGACATGCTGGAGCAGGGCTTGCAGCAGCTGGGCTGGCAGGACGAGGCACAGCAGGAGGAGCTGGGCACACAGCAGGCAGGTCTGCACACAGGGCGGCAGAGCAGGGACACGCTGGAGCAGGGCTTGCAGCAGACAGGCTTGCAGCAGACAGGCACACAGCAGGATGAGGGCTGGCAGCATGAGGATCCAGAGCAGATGGGTGTGCAGCAGACAGGCTTGCAGCACAGGGTCACACAGCAGGATGGCTGGCAAGGAGAGCAGGTGCTGCAAGCTGGCTGGCAGCTAGACTGCTGGCAGCATGAGGATCCAGAGCAGACAGGTGTGCAGCAGACAGGCTTGCAGCAAAGGGTCACACAAGGTGAGGAGGTGCAGCATGAGGGCTGGCAGCAGGAGGAGGATCCTGAGCAGATGGGTGTGCAGCAGACAGGCACACAGCAGGAAGATTGGCAGCATGAGGGCTGGCAGCTAGACTGCTGGCAGCATGAGGGTGCACAGGAGCTAGCACAGACAGATTGGCAGCAGGGGCTGGACCCACAGCTCACTGGGGTGCAGATGAGGGTCAGGCAGGGGGCTGGGGCACAGCAGCTGGGGGCACAGCAGCTGGACTGGCAGCAGCTAGGTTGGCAGCAGCTGGACTGGCAGCAGCTGGGGGCACAGCAGCTAGGCTCACAGCAGCTCTCTGGGCAGTCATCCACCTGCCAGGAGGAGTTGGTGCAAGCGTCAGAGCAGACAGACATGGTGGAGGCGGCCATGGTAAGGGTTGTGCTGGAAGTTGAAAGTGTTCAAGTGTGGGAGTGTGGGAGTGTGTGTGAGGTGCTGAGCCGCTGATCTTTTATCCTCCTCCAGCCTGTTTCCCCAGGGGCAGACGCACCTTTCTTCCTGTTGTGTGCATTGTGGGAAGTTCCTCTTCCTGACCAGCCACAGCTTTGGACCTGGGTGGTCTGGGGAGCAGGGCTTGCTAGCAGCTCAAGGGCAATTCAGAGAGTAGAGAGGTTGCAGCAGACTTGCCATCAGCTTCTGTCCAGGTGGAGAGATTTTGAGAAGCTGAACCCAGTAGTGCAAAGATCCACCTTTGTCAGTGTGCAAGACGTCAGCCACTTGTGGAGGCCTGGTGGCCATACCCATCAGGGCCAGCTGGAGGCACCACCCTGTGCCAATGGTTGCTAAGAGATGAAAAAGGAAGAGTCAGAGGAGAGTCATCGTAAGATCTCATCAGAGGTCAGAGACGCTGAGGCAGACAGGTCTCAAGGTTGAGTCCAGCCCGGGCTACCTCATGAGACTCTGCCTCAAAACCTTAACAAAAAACAAGCAACAACAAAAACAAAACAAAACATCTCCACTACCACCACCAGCAACAACAAGAAGCTCAGCAGAGACCAGTGTGTCTGTGAGCAACTGTCATCTCTGGTGTTTATTTCTTGATGTGAAGTGACGCAGGTCAGAGAGCTCTGAGTGTCTGTGCCGACTGAGCACATGTAGACCTATTGTCACAGGGCCACACTGGCTGGCACACTGCCTGCCTCTATCTGCTGATACTTGACAGTTTTCTATGATGACTGGGTCATTTGCGCCACTGGGGACATGGCCTGGGATGTGGCTCCATGTGTGTGTCTGACAGCATGTTCCAGAGGAGGCTCTGTCCATGATGGCCTTGCCTGAGATGGTCACCTGGTGTCACGAAGGGTGTTCATGATAAAGACTTTTGCAGCCTGAACTTGGAGGACTCTGCTGGTTTAAGTGAGGGTTGGGGACAGGACAGTCCCTGTCCTTGCTCAAATTCTGCCTTTTGGAGGAGACTTAGAATTTGCTATAGGGACTTCTTGGGAATTCAGCATGCAGTTCTGTTCGGGGACATTGTAGTCCTGAGTGACAGAAAGCACTGAGCATGCTGAGGGGCTGGAAACCAAAATCACAGCAGTGAGTTCTCGGTGGTTCTCTATGCTAGAATGATAGGGGGCTGGGCGTATCAGTCTCTGCCGGAAGTCTGTGTCGAGGGCAGGTGGCTGCCTCTTGCCAGTTGTCCTCAGCTTTTCCAAGGTGGGGACCTGTGACAGGGAGGTGGTGCAGGGGCTGTAAAACTTTCTGTGGAATTTGTGCATTCTGACTAAGCTGGGGGTGGGAGGTCCCAAGGAGTCACTTATTCCATAGTAGCACTTGGGGAAAAGTTCCCAACCATTTCTCTGAGAAATACACTGGGAGGTGACATTATTCATTTCTTTACAAATTGCTGATGTGTGTGTCCCCAGATGAGACACATGGCTTCACACACCTGCCTCTTATTTCAGGAGCATAGGTGCTTAGCCCTGGTTCTGTCTGTGGGACACATGCTGTGTGGCTCCCATGGGTGACACAGCCATGAGTGTGAAGCCCAGAAAAGCTGTGTCTTGGTGTCCTCCTCTCTCGTCTATTTCTATAGAGTAGATTTTCCAAAGTCATTGGATTGTGGGGAAAAGGGAGTCTGAGGTGACAAAAGGCCCATGTGTCCCAAGGCCATGACCCTAAGACGATGTCATCCAAGTCCAGCTCCTGAGGCCATGCTACCAATACCTACATCTTCATACTGAGTTCATACTCAAGTGTTTGACTTTATCAGATATTTTATTCCGGCCTATACAGTTGGCTTGGCCATTTTGTGCCTTTATTCACTTGTTCCCAATGCCCAGGGAATGATGCTTTGGTCCTTCACGCATCTCCAGATGCCCATGTGGCTACAGGGAAGGAGCTGTCCAGACCTGTTCAGCCAGGTTCTACAGCTTTCCATGTCTCTGGGCTCTCCGCCAAGACTCTCTCTACCAGCTGGTTCAGAGCCTTGCAGCCCAGACAGCCAGGCTTGCCACCAGCCCCTGATGTGCCAATTACACAAGTATTGGTGAACAGCAGAAAAAGGGGATTTTTTTTCTATTAAGTGCAGGCACACGGGGAAGAGGAAGAGAGGTCCCATGAAAACGCCACCCCAAAGTCCATCTTTGTTATTCTGACACTAGAGTAAAGTTGAAATACAGGGTAGGAAGTATGTACAACCATCGGTCCGGGTCCAAGTGTGGTTCCATCCGTCATCGTTGTCTGGACTTCAGCGGCTCCTGCAAGGTATTCCAGAAGACAAACTCCCCCTCTGGCTGGGACCAAGCTCAACCTTTTCCTTCTTCCAGCCCCAGGAAATTCTAATTTCTTGGAGCCAGTTGTCTTAAAAGTCTTCAGGGCACAAGTGTGCCACTTTAGGCTACGTTCAGTCCTGCCAAGCGACAATACACTCTTCCATTGTCTCATGAACATCACCCGGTCACTGAGAGGCCACATCCCAGTGTTTCTGGGTCACAACCATGTTGCTGCTCCAAGTATGTGAGTTCTGTTGACCATGAACACTGGGATAAGAGCCCACAACCTTCTCAGGGTCTACCAGATTCTGTCCATGGGTGGGGGGCTAAGGGCATCCCCAGAACCTACAGCATGGACCTGACAGGGGCTAAGGCCACGGCTGGGGTATGGCCAACTGGGCCAGTGAGTCTGGAGCTGTGACTGATAGATGCTGGCATCTCCTGGCTCAGAAGGGTCACCCATGCCCTCCAGCCTACTCAAAGCTGAGCCTTCTCTGCTCTCTCCTGCTCTGGTCTCCTCAGGTTGTCCTAGCATCCTGGCACAAAGCACAGTGCAGTGTCAGGGGAGGCAGCCCTGTGCAGGAAAAAGCTGGCAGCCAGGGTGGGCAGCCAGGCTGTGCAGGGACACCTGATGGGGCACCAGGGTGTATTAAGTCTCTCTGGAAACATCATCACAGGCATGCTCACCTCTCAGCACTGTTAAGGTGACAGCCAGGACCAATTATGACAGGTGTGTGCATCTTGGTGTGGTGTTGTCACGCTGATGGAGCTGTTAGGGAAAGTGGCCGCACCCCAGGCCTGGGAAAGACAGGAGTCAGGGTACCCAACCTGAGTCCACATATCCTGCTCCACTCTTGCCAGGATGCAGATCGGCTCCAAGGACCAGGGAAAGCAGGCTTGTCATAGCAGGAGCCTTGGTGACAAGGGTGTTTCAGACAGCTGGTGGCAACTGGAGAAAGGACCTATGGGTGCAAAGGGCCTCAGCAGCTCTGCCCTGTGTCCGGCATCCATAGAAAGCCTGGTGCAGACCATTTTGCCCAGAGGGACAGCATAGGATGGCCCCAGACCAGGCTGCATCTGTAGGAGGCCAGTCCTGGGGAGTCCTGGACTCATGGATTTTTGCTTGAATCTACCTAGAAAGAGGCCCTGAGATTCAGAAGAGAGGCCACAGGCCTTTATGACCACTGGGCAGGGTCACTCCATTCCTGATAGGCCTGTGTTTAAGGAAGACCATACTCCATGGAGGTTGCGTACCCTCACAGCATAAGGGATGTGATGGCTGCTCCCTGAACCCTAATTGACTAGAAGACTGAGGTATACTCTGGGGGTGTCTGAGAAGACATATTGAGAGCAGATTCCCCAAGGTGAACATACCCTGACTGTGTGCAGTGCTATTCCATGGACTAGAGCAGGGAGGATGGAGGGGAGAAGGAAAGAATAAAACACAAACGTCTCTCTACTTCCTGAACACTGTGAAGAGAACTGCTTCATTTTCACTTCCCCCAAGTGATGGATGAAAGCCCTGAGAGAGACCCTTCCTTCCTCCCTTTCCTCCCTGTTCTCCCTGTTGTCTGTCTTGGATATTTCATCCCAAACATATGAGAAAATAACAATCCAGAAGGATGTCAGGTGGCCATGGCTTTATTGGTGGTGTGTGCTGCTGATAGCAGGGCAGGTGGCCCAGAGCAACACGGGGACAGGGAAGAATGACAGTGACTCAGAGACTCCTGGAAGGTAGGAGAGGTCAGGTCAGCATGGGGGACACGTGGTGTTCCTCTTCTGGGGGACCTGCCCTCTCAGGACAGGAGCAGACTGGAGAGGCCGAGGGGAGCTACAGGGAGGGACCTGTGTCAGCTGGCACCAGAACAGGCCCATCAACAGCTGGACTTCTGGCCACAGCAGGCCTGGCTGGAGCAGGCCGGGCGGCAGAGCAGGGACATGCTGGAGCAGGGCTTGCAGCAGACAGGCTTGCAGCAGACAGGCACACAGCAGGAGGATTGACAGCATGGGGGCTGGCAGCTAGACTGCTGGCAGCATGAGGATCCAGAGCAGACGGGTGTGCAGCAGACAGGCTTGCAGCACAGGGTCACACAGCAGGATGGCTGGCAGCAAGAGGAAAGTCCACAGCAGATAGGTGTACAACATACAGGTGTGCAGGAGAGAGGACCACAGCAGAATGGCTGGCAGGGAGAGGAAGTGCAGCAAGCTGGCTGGCAGCTAGACTGCTGGCAGCATGAGGGTGTGCAGCCGCTGGTACAGGCAGATTGGCAGCAGGGACTGGACCCACAGCTCACTGGGGTGCAGAGGAAGCAAGGGGTTGGGGCACAGCAGCTGGGGGCACAGCATGGGGGCTCACAGTAGCTCTCCTGGCAATTGTCCACAGGCCAGGAGGTGCCTGGACAGGTGCTGGGCGAGCAGACCCGGCTGCCGCAGCTCAGATTGCTAGAGCAGACAGATGTGGTGGACGCAGCGATCACGCAGGTCCTCGTGCAACAGGTGCTGGCCATGGTCTCCATGTGAGTGTGAGTGCGTGTGTTTGTGTGAGGTGCCTGCCCGGGGGTTTTTATGTGCCTCCCATGGATGTCTCCTCATGAGTGTGGGCACTTCTCCTTTCCTTGTTGTTCACCTTGTTTGCAGACAACACAGTCAGTTTAGGGCTGGGAGCATGGGTCACAGCTGAGCTGGGCACATCCTTGTTCTGAGTGACCATGTGACACGACGGCTGGGTGGAGCTGGGGTCTGTGATTCCTTCTGCTGTCTCCCACCTTATCTTCAGGAACACAAGCTCCAGCAGGCCCAGAGTCAGGCCGTCCCCACACTACAGACCCCTCTGTTGCTGCAGGCGGTAACCACCCTCTCTTCCATCCCACAGACCCAGGGTCCCTCTCCTCCATCCCACAGACCCAGGGTCCCTCTCCTCCATCCTACGGACCCAGCGGGTCTCTCTCCTCCTTCCCACAGACCCAGGGTTCCTCTCCTCCCTCCCACAGATTCAGGGTCCCTCTCCTCCATCCCACAGACCCAGGGTTCCTCTCCTCCATCCCACAGACCCAGGGTTCCTCTCCTCCCTCACACAGACCCCGTGGGTCCCTCTCTTCTATCCAACAGACCCAGGGTCCCTCTCCTCCCTCCCACAGACCCAGGGTCCCTCTCTTCCATCCCACAGACCCAGGGTCCCTCTCCTTCATCCCACACTCTTTGTTGTACAATGGCTTATTAGAATAACATGCTCATTTCCTTCTGTGGAAAACAGCATTCTCTCTCACCGTCACCTCCTGGGAGCCGCTTCTCCCATTCTGAAGGCAGCGAGCATTTAAACCAGGGCACCGACCATGTACCGTTTAGTGTTACGTTTTTCACATCTATCTCAGTGGTATCTGTGTTGAGTGTTTCTGTGTTGTCAGATAGGCTTAATCTCTGTATTCATGCGCATGCTGTCTTTGTTTTTCCCTCTTGGAGCCGGTCACTTCCCCTGTTTCTGTTTTCCTGTACTCTGGTCATCACATCTTCCCCTACTGTCCCCTACGTGTCCCCAGCTCTGAGAACACAAACATTTCCAGTATTCTGAATTCACAGGTCAGTCTGAGCTGACCAGCCCTCAGACCCAACCCAACCCTCAACTTTCCTTATCTCTCAGGGTTGTACCCATCTTAGCCCTTGGCCCCACCCACCTCATCTCTTGCCTTTCCCGAGGTCCTTGCACCCTCCCCCCCCAGCCCTTACCCTCCCTCAGCCCTTGGCTCTCCCCCTCAGTTCTTGCTTCTACCTCAGCCTTTGACCCTCCATTGGTCCTTGGTTCCCCTCAGCCCTTGGCTTCCCTCAACTCTTGCCCCGCCTCAACCCTTGTCCCCTCACCCCCACCTCAGCACTGGTGTTCTGCTGCTATCCTGTGTCTTTCTTATTTCTTTTAAAGATATTTTCTTTCATTTTCTTCAGTGCTGGCTCCTTGCGATTTCTTTCTGGGTTGGTGTCCTTGTTTTGATAGAGCACTTCCCTTGGAGATTTTTTGGGAATGGATGAAGGGGTTCTATTCTTGTGATCCACAGCATGAACTATAATCCAGTTTTCCTAGCACCATTAGCTGAAATGGCCATCTTTTTCCAGAGATACTCTAGCAGTGTTTTTAGTTGTAGGCAGGGGGTCTAGAAGTCAACTTTGGGTGTCTTCCTTCTTGACTTTAGTTGTGTTTTCTATTTCACTGCCTATCTGTCTACTTTCATGACTATTTTCATGTTACTGACTCTCTGCTCTTGACACTGGGAAGTCCTCCCTTCCACCAGGGCTCTTCCTCCTTTCTGCCCTTTAGTTCCTTGGTTTATTCATAAGTGTTCTGTTTTCTGAGATAGCTGTAAACAGGGTTCTGTGTCTTGCTGTTTTCCTCAGTCTGTTCATCACTGGAATATAGAAAAGACACTGTGTTTTGTTCTGTGATTTTATATTCAGCCGTTCTACTAGAAGCATTATCAGATTTAAGCATGTCTGGTGGAGCCATTGGGGCTTTTACATATGAAAACAAGGATGTTTTGATTTTTTTTCTCTTCTATTTGTATCCCATTTCTTTCTTTCTCTTGTCTTATTTGCTGTGGCTATGAAACCAGGCAATGTGTATGTATTTAAGGGGGCGCAGCAAATAAACGACTCAAACTGCTCTTATGGGGTGGAGGAGGGTAGTTATTGTGAATAAGAGAGAGAACAGCCACAGGCATCTGGAAGAGTCCAGAGCAGTCAAGTGGAGGCAATGCTTAACTTACCATCTTACCCTGGAAGTTGGTGAATTGTAATATCATTCAAGTATTTGCATTAAATATTTTTATTATGTATTTTATCACGATTCATCTTTATCATAATTTTTTTCTTCTGGATTTGCCAGTGTTTTAATTTGCATTGTCTTTTATAAACAACTGATCAGTTTTTATTTATATCTATAATTCCTTCCTTAATTATCATGTTTATTTATTTTGTGTATGTGTGTGTGTGTGTGTGTGTGTGTGTGTGTGTAGAGGCCAGAGATTGGCAGATGGTGTTTTCCTGGTCACTCTCAGCCTTATTTTTGTAGAAATGGGATCTTTCTCTGAAACCCAAACTCACCGATTCAGACTAGCTGTCCAGAGAGGACCCTCTGCCTCTGCCTCCCCAGCCCTGGGATTACAAACCCTACAACCATGTCCTGCTGTTTTACAAATATGGGCTCCCAGGTCCTCATATCTGTGAAGACAATACTTCACCAATTTCTGGATCTCCCCAGTTGTCTTCTAACATTTAAAATGTCCCTTTTAAAAGTTCATTTTGGAAGCTCTTGTGGTTTTGTGGGGTTGAACTCTCGTTTTTAATCCTGTTCATTTGCATTACCTGAGGATTTGATTTTCTTCTGAATACTACCTCTCCTGCATTACCTGTGTTGAGAAGTGATGTGTCCATGTTCGCTGTTTGGTCCATGATGCAAGCCCACACTCTCTGCTGGGTCCACCGTCCAACTCCACTTCTGAATCTGCTGGAGGGAATGCCTTTAGAGTTCCCAAAAGTGACTGTCTTTTTACTGTTACGAGTTGGCTTTATTAACTGTGGTTCAGGAAAGTGGTCTTTGCAACATCTTTTTCTTAGTATCTTCTTACAGATCAGCAGCAGACAATACGGAACACAATGTAGCAAAGCAGCCGGCTGACAAGTGTCAGCACTTGCTGACCTGCTCAGCTCCCTAGGAGCTACTGTCTCCACACAGGACATGTTGGGACATTGCTCTTTTGTTCATTCTGGAGTGTTGTCATAGACTCACTATGGATGCGTAGGACTGTAATGACCACTAGCCCTACTGCGTGTTTCAAGTGGAACCAACCATTCTATCGGTCTGTATGCTTTGACCACATGGTGACCAGCTACCGCAGCTGTGTTGACAACTGACTGCTTGCCATCTTGAGGGTGCCAACTGTCTCTTCTTTGTACATCTATGTCTTCATGTCACGGGTGAGAATGACTACTGGACTGTGTGACTTTTGGCTACCGGGCGTCTCCATAAGTGCTTACTGCTACCTCTTTTGTTCATTTAATTGTAAACTCAAATCTTGGGTTCTCTGTCATTACATACTATTAGCGGCAGTAACTGTCACACGCAGGGCCCAGAGCAGGTTGTCTCGGAGACTTGAGACTGTGAGGTTCTTTCTGCTCCCAGAATCCCTGTCCAGGGCGTAACCTCCACCTCCACACCCACGCCTCTAAGGTGCTATAGCAAAGAAGAGAAGGGCCTGAGAGCTGGGGCCTGCAGGTAGGAGATTGTTACCAGCAATTTATTTTTCAGATACCACTGTGTGATTCTAACTACAACAGGCTGGACCAGACCACAGGTCCAGGCTAGAGATGGTATCACCCCTAAGCCCAGAAAAGGAGCTTGGGGCCAAGTGCCAGGAAGCTGGGACTGGGGTTCTCCAGGGGATGTACTCAGCACCCCTAGCAAGGATAGATGGCCCATGCAAAATGTCATCTATCAGGGTGTGCTTTAGACTTGTGACCAGGACTTCTGTGAACTGGTCTTCAAACACCCCTGCCATGCACCAAAGTCCCACAATTCCCTAGGAGAGCATGTATCCAGCCATGCTGAGTTATGAAGACCGCAGGCCAGTGAGACAGCTGGGTTGGAGCTTCCCAGACCCGAGTTCTCTACAAAGAACAGCTCCGAGGATCTTACCAACCAGGGCAGGGAAGTCTGGGGGAGTCAGGGTGGCCAAAGTCACACCTAGGGTAGGTGCAATTGTCAAACCTGCCCTCTTGCATCCCTGAACACAAGTTTATCCCTGGGACACACCTAGGAACAGGGAATTCTGGCTCTGACACCAAGGAATGGGAGGGGCTCAGTGCCCTGTGAGCAGCCAGGGCTGAGAACTTGAGCATTCATGCAAGCACAGAGACAGTCTTGGCTAGGTTTGTCAAGCACTTTATTGGAGTATGAGAGGTGCAGCTGAAGGGAGCTGGGGTGGGAGGCTGAGAATCTAGAAGAGCCAAGGTTGGCCTGAACACAGTAGAGGCCCGTCACAGACCCAGGGAAGTGGCTGAGGCCCATCTCTGAAGTGACTTCTGCTTTGCTACACAGAGGTCTAGATTGTAGAGATACATATTTCTCACTGTGGCAGGGCCAGTAGGTTTCCTAGGAAAGTCATGGGTAGGAGCTGGGGGCTTCTACAATAGTGAGGGAGGGGCAATCAAGTGACAGTCAAGGCCTTCCAAGACCCTGGAGAGGCAATGGACACAGTTGCTAGCCACTAGCAGAGAAGCCAGGGGTCAGGTGAGAGGGAGCTCCCAAGTTCTGGGGTGACAGCAGAGCCCACTCCGCAGCTGGACTTCTGACCTGAGGACAGGACTCAGCAAGAGGGGCATGAGCAGGCAGGGCGGCAGATCAGGGACATGCTGGAGCAGGGCTTGCAGCAGCTGGGCTGGCAGGACGAGGCACAGCAGGAGGAGCTGGGCACACAGCAGGCAGGTCTGCACACAGGGTGGCAGAGCAGGGACACGCTGGAGCAGGGCTTGCAGCAGACAGGCTTGCAGCAGACAGGCACACAGCATGAGGATTGACAACATGAGGGCTGGCAGCTAGACTGCTGGCAGCAGGAGGAGCCAGAACAGATGGGTGTGCAGCAGACAGGCTTGCAGCAAAGAGTCACACAGCAGGATGGCTGGCAGGATGAGGATGAAGCCCCACAGCAGACTGGTGCACAGCAGACAGGCTTGCAGCAGACAGGCACACAGCAGGATGGCTGGCAGCATGAGGGTGCACAGGAAGACTGGCAGCAGGGGCTGGACCCACAGCTTACTGGGGTACAGACAAGAGTAATGCAGGGGGCTGGGGCACAGCAGCTGGGCTGGCAGCAGCTGGGGACACAGCAGCTGGGCTGGCAGCAGCTGGGGACACAGCAGCTGGGCTGGCAGCAGCTGGGGGCACAGCAGCTAGGCTCACAGCAGCTCTCTGGGCAGTCATCCACCTGCCAGGAGGAGTTGGTGCAAGCGTCAGAGCAGACAGACATGGTGGAGGCGGCCATGGTGAGGTTGGCTGGAGGAGGGCGAGGTGTGAGTGAGTGAGTGAGTGAGTGAGTGAGTGAGTGTGTGTGTGTGTGAGGTGCTGGGTCGTCAGCTTTTATCCCCCTGTGCTGTTGTCAGACTTGGCCTCCCTTCCTTGTTGGGTCATTAAGACGTTTGTTTTTCTGGGATGTTGTCAGGCCTGTCTGTCACCCACCAGTGGTGGCGCTGGGAGCAGTGGGACAGTTGGGTGAGGCTCTGTGAGCAGTGAGCTTGGGTGTCATTGGTAAGACTTGACCCAGCCATCCTACGGCTGCAGAGATGGCTGTGGCCCGCTGCCAGGACCCTCATTCCCTCTTAAGAAGTGGATGTGATCAGCCCAGTACTTCTTCCATAGCCCAGCTCTGGGTGAGGACAGTTGTCACTTCATGACAGTGCTGAGACCAGACGGTGTGCAGTGGCATTTGTAGGGCCACTGAGTTGAGGGTACAGTGACTGGCCTATAACTCCCACACCTAGAGTGCCTCCCTATCTCCTGTACCTTTCTGTATTGTCCTGTGCAACTGTCCCCCCTGCCCCGTGCCTGTGTCCATCCTATCTTTGTACTTGGAGATGCAGATGATGAGCTTGGCCCCTCCATACTCATGATGGCCAACAGTCCCTGGCTGGGCTCTGTTTCTAACCCCAAGGAGGTTCATGATCTGTCAAAACCCTGGAGCATTGCATGGGCCAGGAACCTGTGCCGCTCTCTGCCTCCCTGCTCAGTGTTCCCCAGACATCCCTTGTCCACTCCATCCTCCTCCAAAGCTGCTAACAATTCCTCGCCAGCCCTTCTGCCCACCAGCCACCCAGCCTTGCCACTTGAGCACTGGGATGTGTGTCCATAGCAACTGCTCTTAGGTTAGGTCACATATGTACACCGAGCAGTTTAGAAGATTCACCTGGAAGTTAGGCTGTGTGTCATCTGAACCCAGTGCTGGCCAGTGTCGTTGGGAAGCAGCTGCTCCCAGGTCCTTCATTTCTAGCTCTCTGTCTTGCTACATGTATGCACACATGCACAGGTTTAGAGATTGTGTTCTGTGCGTTGCTAGCACTGATTTAGAAGATGTTGCTGCTGGGGTTCACACAGGGTCAGTTTTCCAGGAGTCTCTGGTCATCTGTGTACCACACAGGAGCTGGTCTGATGAGCTCTGTCTGAAAGCTCCTTGTGCCACCCACATGGTAAACTCATTACTGTTGGCCTCACACCAGCAGAAGAATTGTGGATCCTTGGTGAAGTGCCCTATAGTCCTAATGTCACAGCACCATGGTGGCTCAGCACCATTCAAGGGCATTCCCTAGCAAGAGGACAGCACAACCTCAGAAAAATTGTCACCAAGGAGAACTGATGAGACTTGTTTTCAGGATGAGTCAAAATCAGAAGGCAGAGCCGTATTGTTATCTCATCCTACCAGCTGGGAGCATGTGCCTTAAGATTCCCTGTTCTGTGTATGTCCATGGATGGCTACAGAAAGGTCACAAGTAGATATGGAGATGTAAATAAATGTCAGAAGGTAAAAATTAAACAGAATCCACAAATTGTGAGGGTTGATTGTTTGCCCAGCCATTCAACCACCCACTTACCCATCCATCCAGATGTCTTTCCATCTACCACCAACCCACCCACCTACTTATCATCACCAACTCATCCATCCACTAACACACTCATCCATCCACTAACACACTCATCCGTCCACTAACACACTCATCCGTCCACTAACACACTCATCCGTCCACTAACACACTCATCCGTCCACTAACACACTCATCCGTCCACTAACACACTCATCCGTCCACTAACACACTCATCCGTCCACTAACACACTCATCCGTCCACTAACACACTCATCCGTCCACTAACACACTCATCCGTCCACTAACACACTCATCCGTCCACTAACACACTCATCCGTCCACTAACACACTCATCCGTCCACTAACACACTCATCCGTCCACTAACACACTCATCCGTCCACTAACACACTCATCCGTCCACTAACACACTCATCCGTCCACTAACACACTCATCCGTCCACTAACACACTCATCCGTCCACTAACACACTCATCCGTCCACTAACACACTCATCCGTCCACTAACACACTCATCCGTCCACTAACACACTCATCCGTCCACTAACACACTCATCCGTCCACTAACACACTCATCCGTCCACTAACACACTCATCCGTCCACTAACACACTCATCCGTCCACTAACACACTCATCCGTCCACTAACACATTCATCCGTCCACTAACACACTCATCCGTCCACTAACACACTCATCCATCCACTAACACACTCATTCATCCACTAACACACTCATTCGTCCACTAACCTACTCATTCACCCACCCACCCATTTATCTATCCACCAATATATCCATCCATCCATCCATCCATCCATCCATCCATCCATTCATCCATCCATCCATTCATCCATCTCTCCCTACCTCCCTCCTTCCCTCTGTCCATCTGACCATCCGTCCATCCATCTACTCAGCCATGTCCCAGCCCAACCATCCACTTGCTCATTCATCGACCCACTCATGCATCCATCCATTCATTTATTTACTTATCCATCTTACTGTTTATCCAACCTTTATCATCTATCTATCCATCTGTGGATAAATATGCATATAAAATGTATGTGTACACTGTGTCTATAGTTTAACAACACAAACTGTTCCACCACATTTTTTTAAATCTTAATTCAAAAAGTTCTTTTTCTGTGACTTTGCAAAGATTTTCTCATTTAAAGCTCATGAGCATTCTAGACTGGTCCAAATGTGCATCTCCTGTTTGGTGTGATTCAAAATAACACACATTTGCCTCACAGCGTGTTTGTTGGGGATCTGTGACAGCAGAACCTGGTTAGGCAGAGCTGTACCAAAGCACTCCCTCATGGTTCCATTGGGCAGATCCCGTCCCCACTCATGTGGCCACTGAGACATTTAAAACTGAGTGCCTCAGTTTCTCTTTGTGGAGTTTCATCTTTAGGCAGCCCTGTCTATGGACAGGTTGTGAGGTGTGGCTTCTTCTATGCATGGGAAGCTCCCCCAAGACACCAGCTCCTTTACTGCAGCCGCCACATGCTAGCCCTGGCTATGGGCATGGCCCACCACATGACAAGGCAGTGAACACCCTGCACATGAACACAGGGGTAGGGACATGCAACCCCCAGCCACAATCTGTCACTGTGACTTGGACGGCATCACTCTTGGTTTTGTACACACTCCGTGCTGACTTGACCCTCAGAGACTTTCTGCACTGAGAACTGATTCCGGAAACATCCACAGAGTTTCTGAGAGTAGGACGCTCTTGTTGCGCTCCCTAAGCTCAGCCCCTCAGACAAATGAATCTCTAGGGGGAGCCCATGGCTATTTCTGGTGATGTCCAGAAGTGGAATGTGGGGAGTTTCCCATACAGCCACTTAGCCTCTTAGCAAATATGCGTTCTGGCCATCTCGGTGTGGTGCCACACAGATTGGAAAGACCAGCAGTTTTGTTTATACTGGGGATGTTTACCAGGTGAGTGGCAGCTCACAGCTAAACAAGGAACAGTGTTAATGAGACTGCTGGGTCACCAAACAAGGAAGTCTAGGGCCACGAAGGCGAATAAAAGCTGAGGGCTCAGCACCTCTCTCTCTCACACACACACACACTCACTCACTCACTCACACCTCACCCTCCTCCAGCCAACCCTACCATGGCCGCCTCCACCATGTCTGTCTGCTCTGACGCTTGCACCAACTCCTCCTGGCAGGTGGATGACTGCCCAGAGAGCTGCTGTGAACCTAGCTGCTGTGCCCCCAGCTGCTGCCAGTCCAGCTGCTGCCAACCTAGCTGCTGCCAGTCCAGCTGCTGCCAACCTAGCTGCTGCCAGTCCAGCTGCTGTGCCCCAGCATCTTGCATTACCCTTGTCTGCACCCCAGTGAGCTGTGGGTCCAGCCCCTGCTGCCAATCTGTCTGTGCTAGCTCCTGTGCACCCTCATGCTGCCAGCCCTCATGCTGCCAATCCTCCTGCTGTGTGCCTGTCTGCTGCACACCCATCTGTTCTGGATCCTCATGCTGCCAGCAGTCTAGCTGCCAGCCAGCTTGCGGCACCTGCTCTCCTTGCCAGCCATCCTGCTGCATGACCCTGTGCTGCAAGCCTGTCTGCTGCACACCCATCTGCTCTGGATCCTCCTCCTGCTGCCAGCAGTCTAGCTGCCAGTCCTCATGCTGCCAGCCATCCTGCTGTGTGCCTGTCTGCTGCAAGCCTGTCTGCTGCAAGCCCTGCTCCAGCGTGTCCCTGCTCTGCCGCCCTGTGTGCAGACCTGCCTGCTGTGTGCCCAGCTCCTCCTGCTGTGCCTCTTCCTGCCAGCCCAGCTGCTGCAAGCCCTGCTCCAGCATGTCCCTGCTCTGCAGCCCTGCCTGCTCCAGCCAGGCCTGCTGTGGCCTCTGCTCTGGCCAGAAGTCCAGCTGTTGCTAATCTGTCCCCCCACAGAGAGCATTTCCTGTGTCTTCAGTGAGTGCCAAGGAACCACAGCTCACAGAAGAATACTGTGTGTTCTATGCACCAGGGCAGATCATGGCAGTGGCCTCCTCTCTCTGCCTCTGCCCTTTCTGGGCCAACCAATCTCTCCTCATTATGACTGCCCCTTTTCTGAATATGCTGGGCCTTCTGAGCAATAAAAACCCTAACTGAACCTGTGTAGACTCCCATGGCTCTCTTTGGTGTCACATGGTTCCTCCTTGGCATCCTCTATCTGCTGTGCTTTAGAGCCTCTCTGTGCTAGTTCAGGGGACAGTTCCCCCTGTCCACCTTGCTATGTAATGGTTCCTCCTCTGTACGGTGCCAATCAAACCTGAACAGGTACTTCCATGCCCCATGCTACCCAGGGCAGCTCAGGTGCCTCCTCCCCGAGAGTTTGCCAAGTGTTACCCCAGCTGGCCTGTGGTCCTGCCATTGACCCTTGTTCAGTGGTGCCAGTGTATGGTGGCAACTGGAATCAGGTCTGGGCCGTTGGCCTTGTGAGCAGACATGTCTTCTACACATCGCTTCTAGACATGACTTCTAGACGTTGCTTGGCTCTAAATGCAGAGACCTCCAGTGTGTGGTAGGACACAGGCTGATTGGAGAGTAAGCACACTGGGATGGACCACACTGGGATGGAGCACACTGAGAACACACTGAAATGGAGCATACGGGCCAGGCACACTGAAAAGTCTGCTATGGCTTTACTTATCTACAATCTTGTTTCAGATGAGGATGCGTTGGCATGCCGGGATGGTCCTGACTCTACGCCAGTGACCATCCAGTGAACTCAGCTTGCAGAGGGTGAGAGTGGGAAGCAATGTCCCATGTTGAAGTTCTAGTTCTGGGATAGGCAGATGTCTTGGCAGTAGGTATCCACGTGCCTGTCAACCAGCCACAAGCTCAGTGTGTGGCTCCCAGCTTGGGACCAGATTAAAAACAGCTCCTAAACCTGGCTTCCCTGTCCCTGAGGAGAGAACACCACCCCAGTCTAAGTAGTAATACATTTGTTGAAGGCCACACAAGCAGGAAGAAATTGCTATAGACATGGGGGGACACTGTCCCACCCTGGCAGGTCACCTCCTCAGGCAGCCATTGCCCGAGGCCCGAGAGCTTGGAGACTGGCTCTCATGGAGGGAAACTTTCTCTTCAGTGCTTCATTCAGTGAGGCTACTGCCTAGAGTCCCAGACGGTCAGCAGCAGCAGAGGGGACAGTGCCTGGTGTGGCTGTGGTCCCCAGAGGCCTGCGCTCTGCCTGCTCCGGGAGGCAGCAGTCTGCAGTGGTAGCATGGAGAGAGATCTGCCATCCAGGGTCTTGGCAGCTTGTGGCAGAATGGTAGTGGTTTCGTCTCTTTCCTTCCACACAGGAGGTTAGAGGCCTCCCCCACTTCATGCTCTTCTCCTGACCACAGGCTAGCCCACTATGGACTGACACCTCCAAAACCATGAACCCAAAGAGACCAGTGATCCCACAGGAAGGAAACGCTGAGTCAGCCCATATCGTCTGTGCACAGCCTTGGCTCAGACCACAGTATGGGACTGACTCCCAGTGCAGGTGACTTTCTCAAGGTGGAAAGGTGATACCAGAGATCATACCAGAGATCACCAGAGAGGTGATACTAGCTGGATGGGCATGGTGGGTGTGGTGCAGGGGAGTAGGGGCTTGATGCACTGTGGGGTGCTCCATGTCCTGCATCTGGGCAGTAGTACATGGGCACTGTCAATGAGAGCAGTTGCCCAGGCTTACCACCGGCTGTAGACAGTCAGAGCAGAGGGCCTATCCCAGGATGGAAGCGTTAGCTCTACCCGGAGGAGCAGCTCGTTCTAGTCGTGGTGTTGACCTTGCCCTCAAGCACAAGCTCTGTGGGTCAACCCCACCAGAATGTCACCAACAGGGACCCATGACAAGATAGAGCTGGCTCACAGGAGTGTGCCCCCAGGAAGGAGACAACACCCTTCAGTGGGGCGAGGGGGAGCCCATGAAACAGAGCTGCATGCTCAAACCACCGTGGGAAATAATCTGGAGAAGAGGCCAGCACAGTTCGGGATGGAAGCGGTGGATGGGCAGAAGTCCAGGACGGCAGAACCAGTGAGATTAGCGGAGAGTAAAATCATGGCATTAGTGTTGTGTGAGGGCCAGACCAAAAGCCGGGCTGTGGTGAGGGGAGCCTGAAACAAAACAGACACCAAGAGCTGAAAACCTGAAGAGCAGCAAGAAAAACCTGAAATGATCAAAGAACCTGCAGATGTAGTTCTCCAAAGAAAGGGATGTGGAGGAACATCTAAAGGGGTCCGTGGAGGCAGAGTCATGGGCAAGGCAGAGCAGGAGTCGTGGGCGCCGTACTGAGCAGCCTGACACATAGGAAACCATAGTATGAGGGGAAAGGCTGGGCCTGGAAGTGGAACAAAGAAAAGTGTCAACCAGTTTTCCAATTTCGAAATCACATCATTGCGAACACAGAAAACTTGAAGCTATTCCAGACACCCACCAGTCAATTGACATCTAAGAAGTGTTCCATCCGACAACAGTGAAAAGCTTCGTTTAAGCTATGTGATCACACACCAAAATAAGCCACCTTCTCAGACCTTTGAGCCATGGCACATCACAAGGACTGAAATCCAGAGTATGTCCAGACCTCAGCAGAGCGAAGAGTCTCCTGTGCTCTGGAAGACTGCAAGCATGTGGAAATTATTAGAGAGAGTGTGTAAAAGTAGCCCATGGACCAAAGATACAAATCACTATGGGAATTACGGTGTATTTTCAGCAAAATGAAAATGAAATCAAGCTAACACAACACCTAGGGAGAGGCTCTGTGATTCTTCTTGGTAAACAAGGGAGGCCCAGAGTCTGTGCTTTGACTCAGACCTAGAGATGGGGCACAAGCGAAGCCTCAAATCACTATCGTGCAGGCCATGAGCAGTGGGAACAGGCAGCTCCAGGAGGAAACAGCCAAGACCAGGCTCTTGCATTTTGGGACGGCAAAATGGACATTTCTAGTTGGTTTCACTGATCAAGAAAGAGGAAGAAGTAAATGAGCCATATTAGGAATGGTAAGGGTCATCACCCCAGAGTCAGCGGATGTTAAAGGGACCATGCAGAAGGCAATGGCCTCACACAGACACACCCAGCAGTGTAAAGGAAACAACCCAGGATTGGAAAGCGAGAGTGTGAAATTAACAGGAGAAAAATAAAAGGTCAGAGCAGCCCTGGAGCAGGCAAAGGGATTAAACTGACTCAAAATGTTACAAAACGAAACTTGAGGGGTCTAACCTAGCTCCTTATGGTGAGGAAACACCTGCGGGGAGGGGCGGGGCAGGGCAGGAGTCACTGGAAGGAAGCCAGGCTTCTCCTACCTCACTGCTCAAGGGTGAGGAACTCACAGTGGGTGGGAGCGCAGCTGCAGCTCTGTTCCTTACATAGGCCAACCAGGAAGCCAAGAGCGTAGATAGGAGCTGGAGGGACTGGAAGCCTTAAAGAGCTATACTTCTGGCCCTCTCTTGCTGTGCCTCAACCCCAAACATTCTGCAACCTCCCAAAACAGCACTGCAGGCCAGGTACTGAGTGTTCAGACACATGCGCCCTGAGGGCAGTCCACACTCATCCCGAAGCAGGAGCCTAGAATGAGTCTGTGTGGTTCTGAGTTGAAGGAGCACTTATCAGGGAGGTTTCAGGGAGGGTCACCGAAGACAAAGGGTAAAGTGGGCTTTGCTGGAATAAGGATTAGGCTCAACACTGAAGAGGCACCGTGGGGAGAAGGTTTGCAGTATTTATGTTAATACTGTGTTTGGCATCCAGAAGTCATAAAGAGCATGTACTTTAATAATATAAATACAAACAATCTGATCGAAGAAAAATAGGCAGGAGGATAGTCAGATAATTGGTCCTAGCACAGAGAATGGCTGACACGGTGGGCGGAGACAGACAACAGTGCAGCCTGAGGAAGCTCTGAGCAGCCGCCCTCAGGAGAGCAAGCCTGTCAGGACTCCATGACCAGACTTTTCCTCAGTCTCCACGGAGAGAACCAGAAATGTTTGCTCAACAGAAACTGAGCACACTGTTCACACAGGCTGACTTGCTGTCTGGGCATGTCCTCAGGAGTCCCCAAGGCAGGGATGTCTGGGGTACCTGATGTGAGAGGTGGAAGGATACTGAAGGAACCGGTGGAAAGAGTTCCTCTGAGGCGGGAGAGAGCATGGCTCAGCTGGACGTGGCTGGAAGGAGAATGGACCAGGAGAACATCTGAGACCCCATGAACAGCATGGCCAGGGATGCGCTGGGTGCAGATGGATGCAGGACGGAGGGACAGGAAAGGCTCAGGGAGGGAAGTCAGGGCCCAGTCAGTGGTGTCAGGGTGGGATGGGGGACATGGATATTGATTGGCATCCTTGCTTCATTGCGGGTAACGGTCAGTTGATCATGACTTCTCCTCTGCTCCTCAACATGATTCTGCTGGAAGTTTCCAGGTCTTGACACATTGCTCACTCACCTGAGCACCAAGTCCAGCCCATGTCTGCTCCACACCAGAGAGGGCTGATAATCCTTCCCTTTATGAGTGAGAGCAATGCAACCTATAGAGGGTCCCAGTGTCCCAGTAGAGGGTACTGGTCCTGGGTATCCCCCTTCACCCCCACAATGATTTTATTTCTTGATAGCAGAACTCACAAGGTAACCCAGGCCAGGGGCTACAGTGCCTAGAGCCATGAGTACGGCTTTGCTTATGTGATTTTAGAGAAATGAGTAGTTGGTGGGCACGGCCTATAGGGACAGCTGAACCCTCTGTGGGGATGGCCTATAGGGACAGCTGAACCCTTAGCAGGGATGGTCTATAGGGGACTGCCCATACCTGTCTGTGACCAGTGACCCATAGGTGTCAGAGGAGACTGAACATTTGGGAGAGGGGCCCTGAGTCACACTGTGAAACGCCAGGGGAGGTGGCTGCTGTCCCTTGTCAATTGCAGAGCTGAGTCCTTCCTTCCTAAAAACATTTCTGACTATGGAGACAGATGTTTACATGTTCCAGAACATGAGAGCAAATCCAGGTGGGTAAGAGTTTATTGAAGCCATGGGCTGCAGACAAGCTGATGTCAGGGGCAGGTAACCAGAGCAGAGGGACAGGGGCATCCCTGTCCAGTGACCCAGAGGATCAGCAGGCCTCCTGGGAAGCAAAAGGAGAGGTCAAGTCACGAAGGATAGATTGGAGCTTCATCCTGGGGGACTGTCTTTCCTAGACCAGGATCAGGCTGAGATAGCTGGAAGAGGCCACAGGGAGGGACATGAGCCAGCTGGAACCAGGAACAGGCCCATCAGCAGCTGGACTTCTGGCCACAGCAAGCCTGGCTGGAGCAGGCAGGGCTGCAGATCAGGGACATGCTGGAGCAGGGCTTGCAGCAGCTGGGCTGGCAGGAGGAGGCACAGCAGGAGGAGCTGGGCACACAGCAGGCAGGTCTGCACACAGGGCGGCAGAGCAGGGACACGCTGGAGCAGGGCTTGCAGCAGACAGGCTTGCAGCAGACAGGCTTGCAGCAGACAGGCACACAGCAGGATGGCTGGCAGCAGGAGGAGGAACCAGAGCAGATGGGTGTGCAGCAGACAGGCTTGCAGCAGACAGGCACACAGCAGCATGAGGGCTGGCAGCTAGACTGCTGGCAGCATGAGGAGGAACCAGAGCAGATGGGTGTACAGCAGACAGGCTTGCAGCACAGGGTCACACAGCAGGATGGCTGGCAAGGAGAACAGGTGCCGCAAGCTGGCTGGCAGCTAGACTGCTGGCAGCATGAGGATCCAGAACAGATGGGTGTGCAGCAGACAGGCACACAGCAGGACTGTTGGCAAGGGGAACAGGTGCAGCAAGCTGGCTGGCAGCTAGACTGCTGGCAGCATGAGGGTGTGCAGCAGCTGCTGCAGGCTGATTGGCAGCAGGGGCTGGACCCACAGCTCACTGGGGTGCAGATGAGGGTCAGGCAGGGGGCTGGGGCACAGCAGCTGGGGGCACAGCAGCTGGGGGCACAGCAGCTCTCTGGGCAGTCATCCACCTGCCAGGAGGAGTTGGTGCAAGCGTCAGAGCAGACAGACATGGTGGAGGCTGCCATGGTGAGGTTGGTGGAGGAGGGTGAGTGAGTGTGGAGTGAATGTGTGAGTGTGTGTCAGGGGTAGGATACGCTGACTTTATACTCCTCCCTGGCTGGGACTTCCGGCCCAGCCTGTGAGCACAGCTTCCTGCTTGCTGTTGGCCCTGTTCCTGCTTTCATTTCCCGCGTTGCTGCTCACATTGGCCAGTGCCTCGTCTGTTGTTTAGTCTTAGGTTTCATGGAGACCACGTGCACTTTCTCCGTGGGGTGTTTGGGTGTAAGGGAGGGCTGATGGTGACAGAGAGCCGCACGGCCATGGGTCACTACTGGCCCTGGGTCTCATGGGCTGGGGCTGAATTCTGCCCTTCTGTGGTGCTTAGTGATGGTCAGAGGGGCTTCTGGGTAGAGAAACTCTGTGATTTCCCTTCAGCGATGTCAGTTCCCTCAAGCTGGGCAGCCAAGTACCCACCTGTATGGCTAACTGAGCTGTCACCGCCTCACCATGGAGACTGAAGTCCATGTCAGTATCAGGGCTGGTCTACCTGAACCGAGGGGACTGCCCAGGCCACCCAGCTCCTGGGGCTGCCAGCATTGTTGGCTTGTCCCTGACATCTGCTTTCTCCCTGTGGGTTGTGTCCAGATTATCCCCTTTTATACCATGAGTTGGATGATAGCCATACCTTGGTCCTGCCATACCTTGGTCATCTGCAAGGACCCCACTTGCCAGTACAGTCACATGCACAGGTCTGAGACCTCATACCCAGCATCTCCGGAGGGGCACATTTCAGGCCATCTGGAACTCCTGCTTAGGAGCAGACCAGTGTCCCCCAAGCCCATCACCTAATCCAGATATCCTGCTGACCCATTGCTTCCCCCACCCAGGACTGGCTTTACTGGGAGTGGGCACCAATGTTACACAGCTTAGGAATGGCCTTGCGGCCTTTTGCCCTTCCTTCCTGTACCTTGACTCTAGAGAAGAGGGCTTGCGTATCCTGTAAAACACCAGTCACAGACCACCTGCACTTCTCCCAGTCAAATGGGAGCTTGTTGGGGGCCACAGCCCAGTGCACAGTGGCCTGTGGGAACCATGTTGATAAGCCTCTGCTGGTCAAGCAAATAGTTCCCCCCTCCCCCCCCCGTCACTAACATGTGCCTGGACTGTCTTGGAAACTTCCAGCAGCCGGTTTCTACGTAACTATTTGTCCATCATGTCCACTCCCCTACAGCCCTGTCCCCAGTCTGGTTCTGTGGACTCTGCCTTTAGCCTATCTGCCTGACCACCGTACAGTCTGCAGAACTATGTCCAAGAGTAGACCCACCTCTCTTCTCTTTCTTCAGTGGTTCCTTATTTATTTTGCCCCAGTTGGCCGCTGGCTTTCTCTGGGATCTTCCTACCTTCTCCACTGCTGACCTCCCTCTGTCTGGTCCAGGCTCATCTCACACTCTGCATCCCTCCCAGCTCAGTTGCTCTCCCACACCAAGGCCCCAAGCTCTGCCGTAGGTGTGATGTTTCTTGGGCCTCTCAGGAAGCAGGCGGGGAGATTCTTTGTGATCACAGAGGGCATTGGCGCGTAGTGTTTCCTTTGTGAGCTGGCTTTCCCGCCGATGCTGCAATGAAATTCCCAAGGTCATTGACTTAAAAAAAGGAAAGGTTTATTTTGTTTTGTGGTTTTAGATGGGCCGGCCCCGGGCACTTTGGACGATGGTGAGACACACATCACGGTGGGAACATGAGGAGGGGCGGGGCTGCTTGTCTCCTGACAACCAGGAAACAGAGAGGGAAAGAGTCCTGAGTCTCCAGACCTCTTCAAGAGCGCACTCCCCTTAGGCCCCACCTCCTACAGTGCCTTCATCTAGGAGCCAGACCTTCAACCCAGGCCTCAGGGACAGTCTAGGAGCAAAGCACGGTGCCCTCATTACAGTGCCAGGTCTTCCAGACTGGGCTTGTCTGGCCTCGAAGTTCTTTCTATAGCCAGGAGATTTCACTGCGAATGGAGCTTGGATTCTGTAAATTCCTTTTATGCATATGTAGAGGAGATCCCAGGGTCCCCTTTGTTACCTTTCTAAAAATGTTTTTTTTATTTTTATTTATTTAAATTAAAAGATTTTTTTTGTTTTTATTTTATATTAACAGACTCAGCTGGTCAGGAAGATCACGAGGGAGGTCCCAAGTTACCCTCATGTTAATTGCTTCTGAGTGTTGGCTAGTCTCAGGCTCCTGCACAGGCCTTGGGTCTGGGACACTTTTCCCCCTCTCTGTTGCTAGCGTGACACGCTAACACTCTCCTGAAGATCTTTATTCTCTTCCAGGAGTCTAAGCCCACAGCTTGCTCCCCGCCGCTCCCCCTTTGATAGTTCTGGACACAGCCAACCCACGTGGCTTGTCTCATGACCTCCTCTTGGGGCCCGCTGTGCAGTCCCAAAGGCTGTCTTTTGGCAACAAAGCTCTCCATGACCAGTGAAGGCCAGGCTAGACCGTTGATTCTATCTCTGGTGATGTTGAACTAGGAAGAGGAGCCTCTCCCAGGAGATGGAGATGAGAGATGGAGGAGGCCCTCCCCACCAACAATGCCTTGGGGGTTCTGCATGACACCAGAGGAGCTGTGGGTGGCCTGAGGCCTCCCATCCCGGGGGACAGAACTCTGTCTCCGCACAGTGTCAGCCGTTGACACAGGGAACACACCCTTCAGTGGTCACTCTCTCTCATGTGTATGCAGAATTCAGCAGAGGCTTGAGGAAGCGGGGAGGCAGGATCAGGGTTGATGCTAGACGCCTCCCTTTCCTCACTGGGAAAACAGGGACAGCCAGGAGGACCCACTGCTCCCAGGGCTGACGAAGCATCTGTCGTCAACCTGAGTAACACAGGCAGAGTGTCTCCAAAGAGCAGCAACACAATGCAACGGGAACACATGCCGTGGCAAACTGCGGTCTAGCTCAAGAAGGCTGAGGCAAGGGGACATTTCCAAAGGCCGGGAGGGTTATGTGGGGCATTTGAAAACACACCCTGGCCATGAGCATAGCAGCAAGTACAGTGTCCATTACTGGTTGCAGGGCAGAGGCTCGGCAGATGTCCTCAGAGATGTTTTACCACATGAGGCAGTGGGCTCCTCTGTGCCACGCTACGACCCCAGCAGTTCCTGTTGGGACTGGTTCTTGCCACTGGTCAGCCATGCAGGAAGTCGGTCCCGTACATTCCCCCCAGATTCACTGCGTGTTTTGACGGTTTGGGATTCACAGCTCAAGCCTGTGGCTGTAGCCTGGCTCTGAGAGCTTTCATGATGGAAAAGCTGAAAATACGCAGCCACTGTGAAGGAGTCATCGTGGCTGTCGTGTTGCGCAACCATTGTCTAACCTCTTCCCCATCATATCTTTGCTGCAGACCTTCATCCCCTGGACATCCTGGCAGAGGCGGTCCCTACGAACGGTGCTACAAGTGGGATCCGGATGGTGCAGGCCGAGGGTGTGCTGGGGCTCCAGTTCTCAGCCACTGAGCCTCGTACCATGAGCTTCCCGGCCTCTAGAATCTTCTCCAGCTGTGACCTCTTCCCTGAAGAATTCTCCATTGTTGTCACCTTGAGAGTCCCCAGCCTTCCACCCAAGGTCAGTGGCACTTTTTCTTCTCATAAGCATAGTTTTCCTCCTTGCTTTTCTTTATTGATGTTTCCAGCATGCGTGCCCATAGAGCGCTGTACTGATCGGAGCCACAGAAAGCTGCTTGGCAAAGTTGACAGGAATCTGGGATCTGGAGGGCTTGCCTTGCCCACATCCCAGACCCATCTCTGGTCAAGTGCAGGCCCTGTCTGTGCAACCTTCGGCCTGATGGTTGTTGGTATTAGCACAGGTTTGCACTGCCCTGTGGGGTGGTTGTTGATACATGCATGGGTTTGCACAGGTGGCGGTTGATGAATAGCCAAGGGACGGTGTGGCCTAATGGTGAACTGCATAGTCATGGTTTTGGGTGGCTTAGTGGTTGCTAGAACAGTCATAAATTTGTACAACCTGACGGTTGTTGGTATAGTCTCAGTTTTGTACAGCCCGATGGTTGTTAGCATGATCATGGTTTGTGTGGCCTGATGGTTGTTGGTATAGCCATGGATTTGCACGGCTCCTTGGTTGTTGATATAGGCATAGGTTTTTCTAAGTCTGATTACTGTTGGCAGAGTCAAGAGTTTGCACAACCCAACAGCTGTTGGTAAAGTCAAGGAGTGGCATGCCCAATGACTGTTAGGACAGTCTCAAGTCTTTGCAGCTAGTTTGCAGCTAGGGGTAGCTACATAGTGGTTTTCGAAGCCTGGTGATTGTTACTGCAGAGACAGATGTGAGATCAGTTGTTTGCATAGCCACCGGTTTGGGTGGCCTGGTAGTTGTTGGTCTAGCCAAGACTCTGCATAGTTCAGTGGTTGCTGATGCAGTCACAAATGGGCACCACCTCTGGTTGCTGGTGTGAACCCAGATATGTAGAGCGTGATGGTTGTTGTACAGTTCCACAGTGGCTGGAGTGTACACATCTCCATGGTTACTAGCATAGTTCCTGATGTTTACATCTGGAGAATGATTAGTATGGTCACAGCTCTGCACAGCTCAGTACGGTTCTGGGTGTATACAACTCAATGGTTGTCATTGTAGTCATGAATTTCTACAATCAATGTAGGACAATTTGATCACTGCAGAAGAAGTCCTGTATCCTTTCACAATCCCCTGGCCCTGCCTCATGGCTTACAGCATGAGCGCCTGTTGGTTGATGTGTTTTGTACATTTCACATAGGTAGATCATTGAATCTAGCCATTCGTGACTAATTGCTCAGCGTATATCCTCATGGTTTCATGCATGTTGTAGCGTGTGCCATAGCTGCCTCCCTGGTCATAGCTGAGTCGCCTCCTGTTGTGTGCACACTCTGTTCATATGTGCTGACTCTGGGCACTTAGGCTGCCTCATCTCGGGGCTTGGAAATGATGCTGTGGTCAACGTTCATGTCCTAGGGGAGTCACTCTCATTGCTCCTGGGGACAAATCTAGAGGTGGGATTCTTGGGTCACCTAGGAACTCCGTGACTTCTGAGGTACTACCAGGCTGTTTCCACAATCATTACATTATTTGGTGGGAAGTGTGACAGGAATCTGCTCCCTCTGTGTGGTTGGGAAGCAAAGAGAAGAGGGCTAGGGTCCCGGTGTCCCCTTTAGTGGCACATCTGACTTACTTCCACTTCTTAAAGGACCCACCGGCACCCAGCAACACCATGAAGTGGGACCAAGCCTTTAGCACAAAGGTTAGGCGACAAATTGAAGACCCACAGCTCCCGTCCATTCCTGTTATGCTGGATTCTGTTGTTGAGGACTTTCATCCACGACACAGAGGTGCTGGTCAGATGCTTGTTTCTGAGGACTGCGTGGTGGTAGCGCTTGCTCAGAGTGACTTGAGGTGCATCACCCCTCTCCAGCTTTCAGAACAGGTCCTGAGGGTTGGTGTCCATGCTTCTTGGTCTGTCTCCACCAGGGTCTTTGTTTTTCTTCCTTGTGCTTGGCTCTGCTCGGTCACTGACCTGAGGCCTTTCTCTGCATTGTGTCCACGGCTGTGAGCTTCTCCCATCGCAGGCCTCCTGCTGCCTCTGCTCTGTGATGTCCGATGCTGTGTCAACCTGACAGGATTTGGAATCATCTAGGGGACCCTTCTGGGCATGCCAGTGAGGGTGTTTCCAGGGTGGATTAACTGAGTTAACCGAGGGGGAAAGATGGATGTGGGGGGCTTCCCCGACTGAATGAAAAGGAGAAAGTGGGTTGAACACCAGTGTAGCCCCCCCATCTCTCTCTCCTTGCTGACTGAGGATGTGATACAGCACTGCCCCAGGCACCAGTCACCATTCCTCCCCTGCCACGAGGGACTGTGTCCTCAGACCCTGAGCAAGAATCGAGTTGCTTCCTGACATTGCTCTTATTGGGTGTGTTGTCGTGGCAACGAGGGGTTTTTGGTCTCATCATCTCAGCGTGTTTTAGTCTCCTCTGGGTTGTTAAAGGCTATGCTATTCATTTTCACTTATTTCTAAGTTTTCTGGCTTTTTTTTTTTTTCCTGTCGTCGGTTTGTAATTTTGTTCTGTTCTTGCTTGAGCTCGTATTCTGTGTGTTTTCTCTCCTCAGGTTAGCTTCATGACCCATATATGTTCTGTGTAGATAGAGCTCTACACACACACACACACACACACACACACACACACACACACACACTATCTGAGCCCGTGCCACATTGATACCACCACACTATCCACATTCACACCTTCACCACTGACACCATCACCACCCACACCTACACCAGCCCATACCTATAGCACACACACCATCCACACCTATACTGGCATCAGCCACATCTATAACACCAGCATCATCACCACACACACTATTCACACCACACCATTCACACCACACACACCTACATCACCAATACCTATACCACACACACCATCCACACCCACACCACACACCTACACCACCAACACCTACACCAACCACCCCCACACCCACATGTACACCACCCTCAGCACTCACACCTACCCCCCATTCTACCCATACCCCCACATTAGCAGAATGCTTGCTTGGCTGCTGTGAGGAGATCGTGTAGACCTGCCACAGTGTGCAAGTGTTCTGCCTTGGTTAGTCCTTCTGCTAACTGTTCTACTGAAGCCGAGGTGTTAAGTCCTCAACTCACTTTGATGTGACTCTCTTTGTCTCTGTTGACTTTTGCTCTATACTAGTGGTTTTCAACCTTCAAATGCTGTAGCCCTTTAAGGCAGTTCATCATGTTGTGGTGACCCCAACCATAAAATTATTTTCATTGCTGCTTCGTAACTGTAATTTTGCTACTATTATGAATTGTAATGCAAACATCTGATATGCAACCCCGTGAAAAGGTTGTTTTATCGAGGGTCAAGACCCACAGGATGGGAACCCCTGCTCTATACCTTTGTTTTAAGCTCTTCTGTGAACCCAGACTGCACACACTTCAAGCTACTTAACATCTGTACTCACTCAGTTCTAGTGAGATAGAAAATGGTTGCTCCAGGACAGGGGAGATGACTCTGTGGGTGAACGCTAGCCACCTAAGCCTGAGGACCTGAGTTTGAATCCCTAGAACCCATGTGAGAAGCCGAAAATGACAGGGAGTGTCTGCAACCGCAGTGCTAGGGAGGCAGAGACAGGAGAATCGCTGGGCTCATTGGCCAGCCAGACTCATTGAATCAGGGAATGACCATGTGATGCGGGATGTCCTTCTGTAGATGTGTTGCTTTTATCGCTTGGTGAATAAAGCTGTTTCAGCCAATGGTCAAGCAAAATATGGCTAGCTGGAAGTTCAAACAAAGAGACAGGGAGAAAGAAGGGTGGAGTCTGAGGATTCTGGGAGGCAGGACCTTGCCCTTTCGGTCTGAAGATTTGGTTGATGTCAAAGTTCTCTCTAGTGGTAGGCTGTGTTGCTTATCTGATCTTCAGCTTGAACCCCAATATCTGTCTCTGGGTGTTTATTATTCGTGCTATAACCATGTCTTAAAAAATAAAGTGGAGAAGAAAGGAAGAACAAACCATAGGTAGTCTCAGGCCTCCACACACATGCACAGCACACATGTGCAAATACATGAACACATACACACGAGGGTACACAAAAGATATTGCCCTTGTGGGTTGTTCCTTGCACAACTGGTGGTATTGTTGGTATGTATATTGTATTAATAAATCCCGAAAACACAAGGACACGGGGTTGAAGAATAGGTCAAAGGTTAACAGACACCAAGTCAGGTGTCTCACTCCTACCTGTAAGGTCAGCATTGTGGGATCCAATACCTTCTTCTGGCTTCCACAGGCGCCCACTCTTGCTTCGCAGACACTTAAACATGAATAAAAATAAATCATAAGGTGGTGCTGACTGTGTAATTGGAGCAGGAGGAGCTCTGAGGACCTGGACACAGGAGAGACTCCCAGTGCTCAGAGGAGACAAAGGACCATGAATGTTATGGGTGCTGTCAGGGAATACAGAGAAGTTCACCCTGAAACATGCCCCAAGGCATCCACCCTCCTGCTCACATTGACTCCAGGCTGCCAGAGCCACCAGGAGAGCCTCGAGTTCTCAGAGACAGAGGGAGGCACCGTAGACATCAAGATCTACAGAACAGCTCAGGAGCACATGGCACCATCTTCAAAGCCCACAGTCTGGGCTGTGCCCACTCCTCTGCCCAGGTGGAGAAGCCGCCTCAAGAACTGAGACTTCAGAGATAGGACAGGGGCTGCCACTTCCAGATGTCATCTGGCTGCTGACATCCCTGGCTCCCATGAAATCTAGCATGTCTGCGGGGTTTCCCCCAGGAGCAATGTCCCCAGACAGCAGTACTTGTTGACAGTCCATCCATAGTGTGGCAACAGCCTGACTCCAAACACAAACCAGGAAAAGATGCCAGGAACTGATGCACAACACAAGCAGCCCAGGGGTATAAAGGCAGCCACCAGAGTACCTCACACACACACACTCACTAACACACTCACTCACACCTCACCTGCCTCCATCCAACCTCACCATGGCCGCCTCCACCATGTCTGTCTGCTCTGACGCTTGCACCAACTCCTCCTGGCAGGTGGATGACTGCCCAGAGAGCTGCTGTGAGCCTAGCTGCTGTGTCCCCAGCTGCTGCCAACCCAGCTGCTGCCAACCTAACTGCTGCCAGTCCAGCTGCTGTGCTCCCAGCTGCTGTGCCCCAGCCCCCTGCCTGACCCTCATCTGCACCCCAGTGAGCTGTGGGTCCAGCCCCTGCTGCCAATCTGCCTGCAGCAGCTGCTGCACACCCTCATGCTGCCAGCAGTCTAGCTGCCAGCCCTCATGTTGCCAGCCCTCATGCTGTGTGCCTGTCTGCTGCAAGCCTGTCTGCTGCAAGCCCTGCTCCAGTGTGTCCCTGATCTGCCGCCCTGTGTGCAGACCTGCCTGCTGTGTGCCCAGCTCCTCCTGCTGTGCCTCGTCCTGCCAGCCCAGCTGCTGCAAGCCCTGCTCCAGCATGTCCCTGATCTGCCGCCCTGCCTGTTCCAGCCAGGCCTGCTGTGGCCTCTGCTCTGGCCAGAAGTCCAGCTGCTGCTGACCTGTCTGTCCCATGCTTCAGAGTCCCCCACGTGCATGTCTGCTATACTCAGAGCTGAGAGCCCAGTGGTCGTGCTCCCAATAGTTGGGTTCAGCCTCCGTTCCACGTCTCCCTGGTCAGCTCCCAGTGATGTAGCTATTACCCAACAGGCTCAAGGGGGACCCCTTGTATCCACTAAACACCTGTGCTAGGTAGAGACAGCAGGCTCTGTCGCCTCTTCCCCTGTCCTGGGCCTGGGAGCCGAGCTGACATGGGGTCTCTTTCTGTGCGGCCTTCCCCCTCCACTCAGCTCCCCCCTCAGTGCCCTCCATTGCCATCTTCTACTTTGTGAACTAAAATAAAACTTAGATTCCAGAAAAGCCTGTGACGTTCTGGTCCTTTAAGCTTCTTCATTATTCTCTTCCATTCCGACTGGTCTTTTCTACACCTGCCATGCCAGACCAGCTGCTGTGCCCCAGCCTCCTCATTACTCTTTCTTATCTCTACTCCAGGGAGCTGTGTGTCCACCCCTTGGTTGGACCATCTCTGGGATCCAATTCTGCTTCCAGAAGTTTCTGCCAGTTCTCACTCTTGGTGGCTTATTTCCTAGTGTGCCTCATCCTTTTTGGTTGAGCTGTGAACTTGTGTTTGACAGAGCCCTAGTGGATGGAGGCCTTGGTTGAAGGTGCTAAAGCAGCAGGGGGCATGATCAGCCATGTTAGATTTGGGGCTTGACCTGAAGAAGACCGCCCAGAACACACGGGTTTGGGGGACTAGAGAGATCTTCATGCAAACATTTGAATATATACACACACACACATTACACAAAAGATACACCTCCTGTGTATTGATTTTTGCACAATGATCTTGTTGGGATATTCATTGTATCTACAAATAAATAAAAAACGCATAGGACACAGGGATGGAGAATTGGGTCATCGGTTGACAGCACTTACTGCTCTTTCGGAGCTGGAACTCCCACTCTGAGGGATCTAGTATCCTCTTCTGAATCCCACAGGAACCCACGCGTGCTCCATGGGTGCATACACAGAATAAAAACAAACCTTCGCAAGAGCAAGGATGGTTCAATGACATGCCCATAAATGTTTGCCTTTTAAAGAATCCAGAGCACTACTGAGACCTCAAGAACAATGGCAATGGGTTTTTGATCCTACTGCACGTATTGGCTTTGTGGGAGCCTAGGCAGTTTGAATGCTCACCTTACTAGACCTGGATGGAGGTGGGTGGTCCTTGGACTTCCCACAGGTCAGTGAACCCTGATTGCTCTTTGGGCTGACGAGGGAGGGGGACTAGATTGGGGGAGGGGGAGGGAAAGGGGAGGCAGCGGTGGGGAGACAGAAATCTTTAATAAATAAATACATACATACATACATACATACATACATACATACATACATACATACATACATAAATCCAGAGCAGGGTGGACCAAGCAGCCTCTTGTTTTCTGCTGTACTGGCCATTTCCTGATGGCTTCTGGGCCATTGGCTTCTCCTGTGAATTCTATCACCCTCAGGTGTGTAGAATAAGTTAAACTAAATACAAACCAATCAGAATAGGACAGAACAAAGCAGAAAAAAGGCATGCAGGTGCAGAGACTCACACTTTTTCACATAGAGAAATCCCATGAAATTGAAAGTTGGGATATATATGAATATACATAAATTTATTGTATATTTTATTTATTGATTATTATATATTATTTTATATTATTATATATACATATTTAATATATATTCTAATGTCATGTAAGAATAAATAACAAACAAACACATACACATAAAGGCTAATGGTCAGACAAAGCATTATAAAACTTCCAAAATTCCTTTTCAGTTCCTTTCGTGTTGGCATCTGCGGCTAGCATGGGGCCTCCCTGAAGTGTGCTTTGTAAACCCAGGGGGACTCTGCTGGATAGTAGGAAATTTTCCTTTGTGAGTGGTTATCAGTTGGAATTAGGGATGGCGTTTTTGTCCACATCTTCTTTCATTCCTGGAACCCCAATCTTCCTTGGACCTGTTCACGCCTCCACAATCCACAGCAAGTGTTGGTGCCTACCGGCCTCCTCTGGTAGCATGCAGGGCGCCTTCCAGTACCATGAACACTAACTATTCAGTAGGGGCTGAAGGCTTTAGGAAGACACCAGCTCCACTTCTCAATGTTCAGTGAGATTTATAGTGTTATCTTCAGCGGCAGAGTTTACCTTCAGCTCGTGGAGAGCCACCACAGCCTTGGCAAGGTGGTTTATACAGGCCCCTTTGTTCAACAAATTGGTTAAATGTAACCTATTCCCAGACCTGGAGGTTTAATTTGGTGGCAAGAGATGTCTATTTGGCAATTTGTCTCCCTGTAGTTTGTGATTATTTTTCTTTCATATGTATGTTCATTTAAAGAAGCCTCTGCTGCTGTAGGTTTCCAAATCACCCCCAAATAGTCCTGAGTTTTAGTTTTCCTTCTTTGTGCTCTCTCCCTCACCTCCCCTTCTGTTAGCTTCCTTGTTTAATCCTCCCATTCTAGCCCCATCTCGTCCATCCATAGCCACATATTCTATTTCCGCTTCTTTGGGGATTCCTTCCCTACAACACTTTTCTCCATACTTAACCTCTGCTTACATGGATTGTAGGCTGCTTATTGAAGAGTTAGCAGTTTTCTTCCACACAGAAGCAAACACAAACCATACTTGCCATTTTATCACTCTCAGAATGATTTCTCTCTCTAGCTCCATCAGTTTATCTGTGGTTTTTGTGGGTTCATCTTTAAACAACATTGTAGCGTTCTATTATGGAAATATACATTTTCTTAATGTATTCATCCACTGAGAGACGCCTAGGCTGTTTCCATCTGTGGCTGATGCAAATAGAGCAGCCGTGAACACGGAAGAGCAAGGTAGTAGGGTGCAGAGTCCTTTGATAAATGCCCAAGAGGGGTACGGATGGACTTGAGGTATATTTGATTCCCTGCTTTGAGGAACTGCCACACTGACTTCCATAGTGTCTGTACAAATTTTTACATACCCTAGCAATAAATAAGTGTTCCCCTTTCCACAAGTCCTCACCAACTTGAGTTGTTATGTGTTTTATTTATCTTGTCTTCTATTGTTGGTGTAAGGTGATATCATAATGTAGTTTGGATTTGCATTTTCCTGATGACTGAGGAGGCTGAACTTTTCGTTATGTGATTTTCAGCCATTCAGCCAATTTATCTTCTAGAATTCTCTGTTTAGAACCGTATCTCATTTTTAATTGTGTTGTTTTCTTGATGCTCCCCCCCCACACACACACTTTTTGTTTTTTCCAAGACAGGGTTTCCCTGTAGTTTCAGAGAATGTCCTGTAATACGGCTCTTGTAGACGAGGCTGGCCTCGAATGCACAGAGAGCTACCTGCCTTTGTCTCCTGAATGCTGGGATTAAAGGTGTATACACCACCACTGCCTAGTTTGATGCCCTTTTTTTTTTTTTAGATCATTACATATTTTAGACACAAGTCTCTACCAGATGTGTCTTCCCCATTCTGTACTTTATCACTCTGTGCAAATGACACTCCTGCTGACACCAGGAGCCCCTTGGTTTTTTTTATTGGGTTGTCTCTATTTTCCCTTAGATACTGAAATGATTTTTGCTGTCCCTGTAATTCTTACCCACTGCCTCTGGCTTCCACGAGTCTGACCAATCCTGGTCATTGCTGCTCTCAGGGTTCCTGGGAAGTTTTCAGAATCTTCTGCTGGGTTGGCCTCACCTCTTTTTCAATGTAACACCTCTGCCTATGGATCTGTCACATGACCCTGTCTTGTCGGCTGAGCTGGGTGTACAGACTGATGTATTTCAAAAAAAAAAAAATCTAGCGTGTATCAGCTTTTGTTTGAAATGAAATCGCTCCATCTTACTGCTTGGAGGCCCTAACACAGGATCTCATTCGGCCATTAGATTCCAAGCCCTGACGCCCATCCACCCCAGCCAGTGCCTGATATTATGAGTGGGAAGCCATTTGGAGTCTCCGAGGCCCAGACTTTCCCCAAGGATGTCCCCTTGACCATTAGAAATATGGCAGACTACAGAAACCGTGAAATAGTAAGTGACAAGAACTCAGGGTGTCCTCAAACATGGAGCCGTGCTGAGCATGGCAGCTGCATGGGACAGCGTCTGCTAAATAAATTGTGCTCACATTGCATATGAAACCCCCGAGTTGTCTTGAGGGAGGGAGCTGGTTGTTTCCATGGAGCAACAGGAGCTCTGTGGACCTGGGTAGAGAAGAAGCTACCAGCTCTCAGAGGGGACAAAGGACCATGAATGTTATGGGTGCTGTCAGGGAATACAGAGAAGTTCACCCTGAAACATGCCCCAAGGCATCCACCCTCCTGCTCACATTGACTCCAGGCTGCCAGAGCCACCAGGAGAGCCTTGAGTTCTCAGAGACAGAGGGAGGCACCGTAGACATCAAGACCTACAGAACAGCTCAGGAGCACATGGCACCATCTTCAAAGCCCACAGTCTGGGCTGTGCCCACTCCTTCTCTGCCCAGGTGGAGAAGCTGCCTCAAGAACTGAGACTTCAGAGATAGGACAGTGGCTGCCACTTCCAGGTGTCACCTGGCTGCTGACATCCCTGGCTCCCATGAAATCTAGCATGTCTGCGGGGTTTCCCCCAAGAGCAATGTTCCCAGACAACAGTACTTGTTGACAGTCCATCCATAGTGAGGCAACAGCCTGACTCCAAACACAGACCAGGAAAAGATACCAGGAACTGATGCACAACACAAGCAGCCCAGGGGTATAAAGGTGGCCACCAGAGCACCTCACACACACACACACTCACTAACACACTCACTCACACCTCACCCTCCTCTATCCAACCTCACCATGGCCGCCTCCACCATGTCTGTCTGCTCTGACGCTTGCACCAACTCCTCCTGGCAGGTGGACGACTGCCCAGAGAGCTGCTGTGCCCCCAGCTGCTGTGCCCCCAGCTGCTGCCAGTCCAGCTGCTGCCAACCTAGCTGCTGCCAGTCCAGCTGCTGTGCCCCCAGCTGCTGTGCCCCAGCTTCCTGCCTGACCCTCATCTGCACCCCAGTGAGCTGTGGGTCCAGCCCCTGCTGCCAATCTGCCTGCAGCAGCTGCTGCACACCCTCATGCTGCCAGCAGTCTAGCTGCCAGCCCTCATGCTGCACCTCCTCACCTTGTTGTGTGACCCTTTGCTGCAAGCCTGTCTGCTGCACACCCGTCTGCTCTGGATCCTCCTGCTGCCAGCAGTCTAGCTGCCAGCCCTCATGCTGCACCTCCTCGCCTTGTTGTGTGACCCTTTGCTGCAAGCCTGTCTGCTGCAAGCCTGTCTGCTGCACACCTGTCTGCTCTGGATCCTCATGCTGCCAGCAGTCTAGCTGCCAGCCAGCTTGCGGCACCTGTTCTCCTTGCCAGCCATCCTGCTGCATGACCCTGTGCTGCAAGCCTGTCTGCTGCACACCCATCTGCTCTGGATCCTCCTCATGCTGCCAGCCATCCTGCTGTGTGCCTGTCTGCTGCAAGCCTGTCTGCTGCAAGCCCTGCTCCAGCGTGTCCCTGCTCTGCCGCCCTGTGTGCAGACCTGCCTGCTGTGTGCCCAGCTCCTCCTGCTGTGCCTCCTCCTGCCAGCCCAGCTGCTGCAAGCCCTGCTCCAGCATGTCCCTGCTCTGCTGCCCTGCCTGCTCCAGCCAGGCCTGCTGTGGCCAGAAGTCCAGCTGCTGCTGACCTGTCCCATGCTTCAGAGTCCCCCGCGTGCATGTCTGCTATACTCAGAGTTGAGAACCCAGTGTTCCTGCTCCCACATCGAGGCTCAGCCTCACACCCAGGTCTCCTTGTGTTTTCCATATTGATTTTTTTCCCCACTCTTTTTCATCTGCCCAGACGCTGGCTACCATCCTGTGACCAGCTGATGACCTGTGAATCCTACAAACCTTCTAAAATTCCCCCAGAGTATCTGGCCACCCGTGGGAACAGGCTTTGTGTGGAATGTGTGGGTCTCTCTGGGACCCTGGCCTTGAGCTACATCCAATGTTGGCCTTCCACCGCACTCCATGGGTGTCCTGTTTCTGTTTGCCTGGCTCTTTTGATGTAGCCATTACCCAACAGGCTCAAGGGGAGCCTTTGTGGCTACTAGACACCTGTCCTAGGTAGAGACAGTAGACTCTGCCTCCATTTCCAATATCCTATGCCTCGGCGCTGAGCTGAAGTGTTGTTTCCTTCTCTGCAGCCTCCCTCCTCCACCATGCTCCCTTCCCCTTCCTTGCTTCCGTCCACTGCCATCCTCTACTTTGTGAACTAAAATAAAACTGAGATTCCTGGAAGAGCTGGTCTGGTGGTCCAGTCCTTTAGGCTTCTCCATGTGTCCACTTTCCAGTCCAACTGGCCATTTCCACCTCTGTCATCTCTGGGATCCAATTCTGTTTTTGAAGTTTCTGCTGGTTCCAGTTTGTGTTGGTATATTTCCTTGTGTGCCCCATCCCTTTTGGCTGTGACGTGGTCTTGTCTCTGACAGAACACTGATGAAGACCTTGGATGAAGGTGTTGGAAGCACCAAGGGCCATGATCAGCCGAGTTAGATTTGGAGCTTGCCCCTGTTGACCACACAAAACACACAATTTTGAGGGAATAGAGATTTTTAGTGGGCTGAAGCACTGAGGGGGAGGCCTGCCAACTTCAGTTTGACTCCCAGATCCAGCAAGGTAACAAGAGAGAACTGACTTCAGCAAGTTGTCTTCTGACATTCACAGGTACCCACACACCACATACAGAGATACCACACATAACATGCATATACAAAACATGCATGCATGCATACTCACAAAACACGACACACTCATACACATCCATACAACACACATACACACAATATACATATGCAATACACACATACATGACACAGGCACACACATACACACACTCACTCATACACACACAGACATTCATACAATACATACATACATACATACATGCACGCACAATAAAGACACTCACACATGCTTACTCATGCACACACATACATTCACATATACACTCACACACATGCCATACACACAGCTCACACCCACCCACACACACTCACACTTACATAAATAAATCAAATTATGCTGTTTAATCTAGCATGTTGCTTAGAAAGACTTGTAGCAAGATTACAAACACCTCTCCAGCATGTCTCCTAGAGACCTTTTCATCCACTGCTCTGTTTGGCTGCTATCCTGATGTCTCTTTTGTTTCAGCAATGGTCAGGCTCAGGGAAGAGAAATCCATGGTTTGTTGCCCTTGCCAATAACAAAAATGTCAGAAAGTTGAGTGGCAAAGCTGTTGCCATTGGCATCTTTCACACAAATAAACCACATCAAAAGAGCCAGGATGTCTCTCTCTGTTGGCGATCATACCAATTCTTCCCAAGGTAGCCGTTCCAGTCACCATACACAAGTTCTTGGTGTCAAACTTGATGTAGTCGGTTATTTTGCCTGTGTCCAAGTCGATCTGAATGGTGCCATTCTCCTTGATGAGGACATCAGAGTAGCGAATAGCATGGACATGTTCAGTCACCAGATGTGGGACTGCTTTTGTGCCCACAGGGATCTTTCTCACTTTGCTTAACTTGACCTTGGCCTCCTCGAGTGTAATGCAATGAACAGCAAAGCGACCCTTGGTGTCGGAGATCAGATGGACGTTCTCTCCAGTCTTGTGATGATGATGTCCATGAACGCAGCAGTGTGGGTTCTATCGGTCCTGACTTTGCCAACGATCTCAATCAAAAGCTGCACACAAATCTTTATTTCACCTCCACTCAGGGCACACTGTTCCCTAGGAAAATGATCAGAGGCAGGCATTTCTTAGCTTGTGAGGACCACAAGCTAAGCTTGAATGGATGTGAGCAAACTTGTCTGCCACCTTATCCAATGTTTTGGAGCAGCTACCTGCTTCAGATATTTCTTGGGACCATGAGTCGTGGCTGCACTGCGAATGGAAAGAGTCTCCCCTTCTTCCAGTGGATGAAGAGATTAGAGTCGGAGGCGTCAAGTCATTTTTTTAAGACAAGCTTGTCAGCAGAATGGGAATTGGTGGTTTGGCAGGCGGATGTCTCTTTTCTAGTGTTCAGCGCTCCGACAGCTGCTGCTCCCACAGGCGACTATGGTGCATTTGATGGTTCTTATCTGAAGGGACAGCCCCTAGCAGCCTTTCGGTGAACATGGGCCTGGTCATTTCCTTCCAAATTCCAAGGCTTGCAGATAGGCAAGGGGGGCAGGAATCAGGTGCCTCCTGGGTCCTTCCTCTGCCCAGTGCCCAGTTGGTTCATAGGGCTAGGGAGGACAGTTCTCTTGTCCTTGATACTATGGCTCAACCTCTCTGTAAGTCCCCCACTGATGGCAGCCAGCCTAGCCTTGGAAGATGGCCACTTCCTCCTTGGAGGATTCTGGAAATAAAGCTTGTTTCCCCATCATGGGGCACTGTAATCAGGCAAGAATGCCCTTCGGTCATTAGAGTTCCACCAGGTGTGGTGTGTGGAGTACTGGACCCTCACTTCTAGATGGGTTCAGCAGCCACGGTCAGGGGGTCCTGAGCTCACGCAGCATCCTGGAAACCATCACCTGCTCTGACTGTGTGAGCCTGTGTGGGACGTAGTCACTTTGGCAGGCTTTGCTCTGTCTGGGCTGTGAGTTCGTATTTATGTTTTAGCTGTTAACACTGAGGATGAGTTTGTGGAGATCCTGAGTGAAATAGGCTGACTTGGCTCTCTTGCTTTCTGTGATACTCTGCCCTGCTCACCTGGGTACCTAACGTGCTCTAACAGTGCTATCTGGCAGGTACAGCTCACACTGGCAACCCTCACTGTGCCAGGCTGAGATGGGAAACACAACAGATAGAATTTATTTAATAACTAGGCTTTCCATTAGGGCTGTTTGGATGTGGCTGAAGTGTGTCCCCAGAGTCTGTCTTGGGATCCTAGTCCCTGTTGGGGTGACACTGAGAGGTGGGGTGTGATGAAGGCCAGAACTAACTCCTTTTTACCTCAGGGGTCCCCTCCCACCATGTGACCTCTTTCCAGGCCACCATCCATGGTGGTATGATGCACTTAGTGGGGGACCATGACACAGAACTGGTGCCATGCTGCTGGACTTCCAGTCTCCAGAGCCATGTTCATATATAAGTCTCTTCATTAGCACCTGGCCTTGGGTATTTCATGAGAGGAACAGAAAGCATGCTGACACACTGTATCTAAGATGCAGCGCTTCTCTGGCCTGAACCGGCTGTGTTTCAAACGCTCATAGTTGTATGTGGCAAGTTACGGTCACACTGGCAGTGCTAGTAGCCGGGACGATTAACACCACACTGTGTGATTGATTTGAACGTTGCACTTACACCCAAAGTCGCTGCTAACTGGGACTTGGGTCATTTTTCGTGCCATTGTGTCTCACTAGCCCCACACTGGAATCTGCAGCCTACTGAGCCCTCGTGCTGACTTTGCCTCTGCCACTTTAGCCCAGGCCATGAGACAAACAACTGCCACTGGGGCCACTGGGCCCTTAGGTCATAAACATATTCTTCCCAGAGCTGGAAGGCTGGGGGCCAGAAGTCAGCGCAGGGACAGTCAGCCACTTGGGGTGTGTTCTGGGTTCTGGCTGAACCTCACTCCTGGCCACAGACATGGAAGGGGGCTGCAGTGTGAGCAGCACCAATCCCATCATGAGGCTCCACCTTGCTGACTTGATCACCCCATCACAAGGCACACTAGGGTTGGGGGGGGGCGCCAACAGCTTGGACTCAGCTCATGACTGCTGAGCACAGGGCTCCTCTGGCTGCTAATTTGAAAACCTCCCTAGCCCCTGTCCTGAGTGGACACTCAGACTAGCTTTTATACCCATGTTTTCTTATAGGAATATATTGTATCCTGAGTATCCCTTTCTACCTTCTCCCTCCTTATTTTCTCCCTCTTCTCCCTCCAACTAATCCCCTTTGTCCCCGTAGACCCATGGTTCTCACCCTTCCTAATGTGTGTGACCCTTTAGTACAGCTCCTCATGTTGTGGTGACGCCAACCATATAAAAGTATTTTCATTGCTGCTTCATAACTGTATTTTGCTACTGTTAAGAGTTGCAATGTAAATATCTGTTTCCCGATGGTCTTAGGAGATCCCCGTGAAAGGGTGGTTCAACCCCTTAGGGGTCATGACCCATGACCCATAGACCATTTGATTTCTATTTGCATTTAATCCACACGTTCGTGATTTTCTTTAACCATATAAAATCTAGGAACGGAAATGGGATAAAATCTACAGTATTTGTCTTTCTGAGCATCGACTGGGTTCACTGAATGTGATTGTTCCCAGTGACAGCCCGTTTCCCTAAAAGCCACGTGACTTTGCTCCTTGTGTCTGGATTAAATTCAGCTGGGCACACTCGCCCCCCTCTCACTCTCCGGGCCTGTTGATGGACGCCTAGGCCACAGAGAACAATCTAGAACACTCTGCTGTGCAGATGCTTCTGTGACCTGTGGACCTGGAGTCCTGCAGAGACCAGTGCTCTTGTCCACTCACCCCTTCCACTGGCACACAGCAGCTGTGCACTCAGATAAGGGTCCCCCAAGTAGTCTTTTTCTCTTCTAAAAGAATATTTTTAAATTGTGTATACATACGCACATGAGTATAGTCCAGAATGGAGTGTGGATCCTCTGGAGATGGAGTTATTGGGCAGCATAAGCCCCTGATGGGAGTGCTGGGC